ACTATCCATGTATATGTTAAAAGCTGTTTGAATGCATTAATTTTATACTATCAATTATATATACTTGGGAAAATGAGGATAAAAAATCAGTCAGTCCTAAAATGCAAATAGATATATGTTATGAATCTGGATAGAAGATTTAAAAATACGTATCTGTAGTAATCCATATTAATTTCCTATTCAGGGTTATGATTTTGTGATGGTGAGACAATTGATATAAGTAAATTGAAAGCAATAAAAGGATAATATAGAAAAAATTGTAAGTTTAGCAAAGATTTATCTACATCTTCATTTTGATAGAATTATTTCATTCCCTATTGACAATAAGCAAATTGGAAAATAAAAATCCAATTCCAAATTTAGCAAGTGCAATAAACTATGGCTAATATGTGGAGGAACTGAATCCCAGAATTCTGACAAATCTCTTCAAGGTGATCATTTTCTACAGTTTTTCCCATAATCCCTTCCAAAACAGTGCAATGATCTCTTTGTAGCAGGATAAGCATGGGACATTAAAACAACCAAGGATATGGTCAAAATAATGTCTAAAAACTAAAATCGTACCAGTTGCTTCAGAACTGAAAATTGGTTTCATCATAATCCTATTCCATCCTCTCATGTTTGTACTTGCAGATTTGAACTCTTTGGTTCTAGATGATTAATTTAGGAAACTGAATTTTGTTTCTCTATACAATTTTACTGGAATAAAAGCACTATTAGAATTAAATATCATATTGAAGCCGGGCACCGGTGGCTCACGCCTGTAATTCTAGCTACTGAGGAGGCTGAGATCTGAGGATTGTGGTTCAAAGCCAGCCTGGGCAGGAAAGTCTGTGAAACTCTTATCTCCAATAAGCCACCAGAAAACCGCAAGTGGCGCTATGGCTCAGATGATAGAGCACTCGCCTTGAGCTGAAGAGCTGAGGGACAGCGCCCAAGCCCAGAGTTCAAGCTGCATCACCGACAAAAAAAAAAAAAAAGAATTAAATATGCTACTGAAAAGTTTCTTGATTAATTTCAGTTCATTCCTAAAATCCATGTTATTAAAATATTTTCTTAATATAGTATATAAATTTAAACAATAACTAAACTAGAAACACTCAACTACATTTTAGAATGAATAAATCAAAAAATTTTACCAGATTTTATAATTTTATGTTGGCATAGGCCTAATATCATTGCTGACTACCTCAAAAAGAGTAAATAAAAAAATTAGGAAAAATCATTTTCCTAATTAGCATTTCAAAAAAACAGCAAATAACTAAGACAGTGACAATATCTTTTTATTTATGGAAACTGAGAGAAAATGGAGAGGTAATTAATTTTCTGTTTTCTACTTCTTTCCCCATTCCACATAATTATTCATTCTTAGACATACTCTCTAAATCTTTCATAATCTCATGATTTTGCTGCCTAAAATGCTTTGAAAATATTTATAGTGCTATGATGAAATGGTGCTCATCTATAGATACCTCAAGAAATCAGAGCCAAATTTGGATTATACAACCCTAAATTTTAAGGCCTATATTCTCTTCCACAGAGAGCATAATTAACAAATGTTTTCTGAAAGCACAGGTGTTCCTGTACTTCATAAAATCTTCATTTTCTTTATTCTCTCTTCATTTCTATAAACACTGAATTGAAAGTAATAATCTGAAACTTATCTCAACATAGGTACTAAGGATTGCCTACAGTAGTCTAAAATTGTGCTTCTAGGAGAAAAAGGCTATATTAAAATATGCATTAAAAGTGGTTCTATTATATGTAATAGACTTAAATGATGCATAGAAAAATAATTTTGCTCTATCAAGTATATAATCTGTAGCAACACAATACCCATGCAATACAACAAAAAAATGTTACTAGGAGAGATATTATGAGCTGCAAGACTGGAATAAGAAGTAACTCTGTTAGAGTTCTTTACCCACATAGTAAATAATGTTGCTATCTACAGTAGTTAATCTTGCAGTTCAGCTGAACACACAAACATGAAGTTCTACTCTCTTCTGAAACAGATTTGGAATTGTATAAAGATTAAAATGATTACAAAACAGAGAAAATACATTCCTTTGCTAGACATCATATGAGGAAATGAATGTCATATCATTCCTTAGCGGGAGTGGTAAATGTAGAATAGAAAAACAGTAAGTTTAAATGTTTCACAAATCTGGTGCAAATTTAAAGGACAAAAGAGATCGAGTTAGTTTAAGAAACACTTTGGGTAGCAAAATTCTGGATTCCATTTTGAGGTACTTATTTACACTTAAACTATCAAGGTTGCTTATGTTACTCATCCCTTAAAGAGACTCTAGTCCACTTATTACATTTTTTAGATAGATTTATGTTTATTTTTCTACTACTGTGAAACTATTTTATATTATGTATAATATTCTATGGATACACAAAGAGAGAAACCATGTGACATATTGGACATTGTTGTCATAATCCAAACTCAGAGCAATGCTATAAGCTTCATAACATCCAGGAAGCAACCAGATGTCATCTGAAGTACCTGGGAAGTCTGAGGATGGAGTGCATGGTGTTCTATCTCATTGTGACAGCTACTATAAAACTGAGACTACCAGCATTCAAGGATGCTCCATACTCTATACTTCCCTAGTTTTTCATGATTATCCAGCAGCCAAGACTTTCATGTAAAAATATCAACTTCAAACTGTGGTCCAAAAAAAGGCTTTAAAATCCATCTCTCTCCGAGTGAGTTAACATTATATTGGATAATAAAGATTTACATTTCAAGCAAGATTAATATAAAAATGTGAGGCTCTGTTTATGGAAATAATTCTCTCTCAAGCACCTGTTTACATTTCTTTCGTCTTTTATTGACAAGGTGATGTACAGAGGGGTTACAGTTACGTAAGTAAGGTAATAAGTACATTTCTTGTCAAACTTCTTACCCCTTCCTTCATTGTTCTCCTAGTTTCCCTATTCCCATCCATTCCCTCGCCGTGTTCTACAGATCATTACTAACATATTGTCTTGTGAATATCGGTGTTGTATTGGTTTCCCTCTTATCCTTTGTCTCACCATTCTGTTGTTCCCCTTCCCTTCCCTAATTCAGATAAAAGTATATACAGTACCAGGTACCAGAATCAAATAGTGACAAGTTTTAAGTGTGTGTGTGTGTGTGTGTGTGTCCGCACGCGAGCACGCATGCCGTCCTGGGGTCTGAACTCAGGGCCTTGCCACAATCTTTAAGCCTTTTTACTCAGGGTTGGCATTTTTCCGTTTGAGTCATATCCGGCTATTTGTTGGTTAATTGGAGATACTCGTCTCTCACACCTTCCTGTGTAGGCTGGGTTGGAACTATAATTCTCAGAGAATTACAAGGATTACAGTCATGACATACTAGTGCCAGACTCAGTTCTAAGTCATTTTTATGTGACAAAATATTACCACAGGAATGAATGTTTATCATTTACCACTAATAGTAAAATAAGCACAGAATATCACTGTTGTAATATTGTTTGAGGAAAAGGAATTTAGTGGTATAATAGATACAAACTAAATATTTCAAAGTAAAGATAATACTTTTAACAACTAATAGTATTCTATATATAACATTTGATTTTCAGCCAGGCACCAGTGACTCATGCCTGTGTTAGGAGCTACTCAGGAGGCTGAGATCTGAGGATCGCAGTTCAAAGACAACCTAGACAGGAAACAGGAAAGTTCGTGAAACTCTGAACTCCAAGAAACCACCAGAAAACCAGAAGTGACACTGTGGCTCAAGTTGAAGAGCCCTAGCCTTCAGCTGAAGAGTTGGACAGTGCCCAGGCCCAGAGTTCAAGCCCCATGTCCAACAAGAAAAAAAAAAAGAAAGATTTTTCTTAGTCTTCTAATTTTAATTAAAGGATTTCATACTATTTCCACTTTACACATGAAGGAAAACCTTCAAAATAGAAGTGAGCAATCCAAAGTTCTTCATCCTATCACAAGATAGATATAAGTTTTCATGAAATATAATGCCTATGAATAAAAATAACAAATAAAATTACATAGACACCAAATTTTCCTAGATTCTCTTCACATGGCTAGTATTAAAGGATGAGAAGATTAGATTGAACACAGGTCACCATATAGACTTTCAACCATGATTAAACTGCAAACACAATTTTGATTTCTTGTTATTCCTAAAGTTTTAAAGGTTACTTGTCACCAAACCTGTTTTTCTTGCTGGTTCTATAAATAGCAAAAGACATTTTAGGAAATACCTCAAAAGCTTCTATAATTTCTTTAATCCACTTATTCTTTTTTTTTTAATTGTGAAAATACTGTACAGAGCTACAATTACATGAGCAAGGTAATGAGTACATTTCTTATCAAGCATTGTTGCTTCCTCCTTTGTTTCCCCTTCCCATTCCTTTCGATCTCTGCCCCCCACCCCTCCTCCCGCGCCAAACATAACAAAAGTCTTGTACATCTCATTGTTGCAATGGGTCCACCTGTATCCCTATTTAAACAATTTGTTTTTTCCCTTCCCCTCCACAAATTATACCAACATCAAATACAGTGAAAACAGGGATGATACCGTGGGGGGAGGGACATACAAAGCAACAAAGAAATATCTTATAAATATGTTAGAAACAATAGCAAACAAGCAAGAAAGAAAACATTTGAGTCCTTATCTTGGGGTTCATTTCGCCTAACATCAACTTCTCTGACCGTTGACTTGGAAAAAATTATATTAAGTAAAGTAAGCCAGGCCCAAAGAAATATAGATCCCATGGTTTCCCTAATTTGCAATCCACTTATTCTTGAGGTAATTTCCCTTGCACTAACTATGCTGTATGATCTTTGACTTCTGTGATATGGAATGTTACAGCAAGTTGAAAATATGACTTACTTATCATAAAATATAATGTTTAGAATGATCTGATATACATATACATGTTCATAGGTATAATTATGTGTTTCATAAATTCTAATTGTATTTCGAGAATTCTAAAATATCTAGATAACATATATCAAATGTGACATACCTGCTTTAACAGGGTGTAGTTGGTGCCATCAGTGCTAATTTTTCTTATTTCATGATGATCAGCAAGGATGAGAAATGGCTCCTCATCTGAATTCCAAAGCAAAGAATATGTTTGATTTTTAATTTATTCCTATAGTTAATTTTTGTTTAGTTTAGCAAAAACTTACATTGACATACAGTGCTACAAACACAGTGATATTATAATAGGTTAAGGTGTATACATACAGATTCAGTGAAAGAGAGAGAGAGAGAGAACTATGCAGTATATAGTAACTTGTGCAAGAAAGCATCAGATACCCAAGATATTCAGAAAATAAAGATAATGTTAAAACCTTTCTACACTGAATTTTCCTAGACACTCAGATAATTTTTTTTGAATTAATGAAACATTTTTACTTTTACAGTCATATTTTGAATGAATTTTATAAAAGGATAATCTACAATGCTCTTAAGCATGTGCTGTATATTCAAGGATTGATATAACAAAAAAATCCACTTTGATAATCAACATTTCTTTCAGCCTTCCAGAGTGAATAGCAAGGAATATTTTTACATAAATTTCTGTACATCTGGCATATAATCTTCTTAATAATTTCTGAACTCCAGTTTCTGACCTTTGCATTTTAATTTTCCTCATGATTCTTAGTAATTAATTTCTTTCTGTACATTTATCCAATATGTTTTATAATGTCTTTTTAGACTATACGAAGGAGAATCAAATATGTTTTTTTCATGTGTTCATATACATATTAATGTTTTTATGTATTCATATACATACTAATGTTCAATATATACGAAGATTTTTAATCATAACATCTTTAGATTCACAATTTAAGTTCTCTCAAAAATTAAATTGGAAATAAATTCTTAAAGAAAACCTGAAGTATAATAGATTCTATATAGAGCTCAAATAGTATAATTCTTTAGAAAGACTGAGTTGAAGCCCAACAAAGGAGGAAAGCAGAAGGAAGAATGCAGTCAATAATAAATTGTATATACCACAAAATTTAAAAAAAAATAAGGAAGGGATGGGCTAAAGGGAGTTGAAAATGTTGGTGAGATAACATAGGTCAAGATGCATTTTATACATAAACTGCTTTGTTAAATGGCAAAAAAATTCCTCCTAACAATTAAGAAAAGTGAGGGAGCGAGTTGGTTAGAAGGGGTATGTGAGAATGTTGAAAGAGGTGACATTAATCAAGATGTTCTTCATATTAACAAACTGCTTTGTTGAATCGAAACTCCTTTGTACAACTACTTAATGATTATTAAAATAGTCAAAAAAGAATGTAAAAAAGTTTGTGAAATGTAATTATTTAAACTTATATAAATAGTTATTTAAATATAAATTGAACAAAGTCAATTTGAATTGAAATTTTTATGAACCTACAATTCAGTAAATATTTGTGCTAACCATGTCTATTTATAAAATACATTCATGTGGTCTTTATATCGACATATATAAGTATATATAAGTAAGCAATTAAGCAATTTAATTAAGCAAATATGCAATTTAATTAATATTAATTAATATTTACTTGACATTAGGAATTTAAAAATACAATTTATTGCATTTGTCTCATTTGTATTTCACATGATTGTATTTCTCTCCTTTTCCTTTGTTTTCACATGCAATTTATGCTAATATAATATGCTAGCATTTTTCATCATTCACTGTTACTCATTTGGACACTTATTTACATCATCCATGATAACATTTAACTTTTCTAACCTTCTGCTGAAGGCCAAATTGAGACTCATAATCCCTTTCAAATCAGAGTCGCGTCTTTTTAGTTCACAGTGTCTTTCTATTCCTATCAACATTAATTATAGATATAATATTAGTCAGTCATGTTCTACCGCAGTAGTATGGATTTCTGTTCTCAACTTGGTTATACTTGCTTTAAAATTCCTGGCTTCTTTAGTAAATGATTTATACTTCACTAACCACATTTTTTATTTGAAATTATTAAGAGTTACTAATTGTTGTTACTCATCAAAAACATCTGTTTCATGGAAACATACTGCAAATAGCCTAAGTTGCAATCAGTATCATTCAATTTCTCTACTTGATTCTTCATGGAAAGTTTCAAGTAATAGCAACATTACTGCTTGGAAATTTCATCTTTATCTATTACCCGAACTCCCTGAATGTTTGATACAACAAACAATGAGCTCTCCATGAGCAACTACATTGGAAGATGAAACAATGGCCCTGTGTAAACATTTCTACTTTTACAGTCTGACTTTAAGTGAATTCCAAGAGGACTAAGTGAATCATGTTGAAAAATAAATGACAATAGAATGAAATGTAAAAGTGATTAATAATTTTTTATATAGCATGAATGTTTAACCAATTAAAATTTAATTCTAAATTTCTACCTCTGATATTTATTTCAAATTATACAATAAAACATTCAATGTTTCATATAAAGCCAACTATGTATATATACCTGAGAAGCTGACAGTGGTAGTGTGCTCATTGTATTTAAAAACAAGTTAAAATGGGCATTTTACCCATTTGGACATTAATTATCATACGTGGCCTTGTAGAATTTAATGTATATGATTTATTTCCTAATACTATACAATATTTTCAAAATTATGGACTTCATTAAATTTATAATTTATAGAATTAAACACAGTACTCTGAATAAGCAGAACTTTAAGAATATCTTGTGACTCATTGGAAGAAGTCAAATAGTATTATGTACCTAATTTATTATTAATATTATAATTACAATTAACCTATATAATTAACCTATTAAAATGAACTTGTTCCTTCAGAATGCATGCAAAGATACATGTGATTGATGTATGGGAAAAAGGAAAATACTACAAGCGGCTTTTAATAGTCTTGCCCAAACTTGCTCCCAAGGACATACGTTTCAACAGAAAATAATGCTAGAAACAGGTATTGTTACTTTATTAAAATAAGAGCAGTAGATATGTGATGTCCAAAATCATAGAGACAGATTTCGATATTGAAGAAAGTAGGGATGAATTTTTGTTTCTTGGAAAACAAAGAAGGATAAATTCAGTAAGAATGGCTACAAAATGCAAATCCATTTGTATAACTAAGGTTGGAGCTTAGGCAGGCTTAACTCAATACCTGAGAGTGACTTGCAGCTATTTGGGTTATCAGGTTGTATTTCATACCCATCTATACAGAGGCACTTATAGGTCCCATAAGTATTGATGCATTGCTGGCTACACGGAAAGCCTGAAGAACATTCATCAATGTCAACACATGTTTTACCATCATTCTTCAGTTGGAATCCAGGCCAACATTTGCACTGAGGAAAGAAAGATGAGCATAATCAATTCACATTATTGCCACTGTCTTTTACTATTGGACGTCCCTTTAGAGTGACTCAAGCTAGCAAAACACTTTAAAATAGATACTGGCAAGTATTTCTGTCTTTTAGCAACTGACTTTAATAAGAACATCATATATTATGTAAAGTTAAAGTTTAAAAATGCTTTATTAAATGTTTTCATTTGATCATCTAAGGTTGGCAAATTTGAAGTTAATTAGCATCACTGAAGTGACATGGGTGGAAAATGACTAGGACCAAAAATAAAATAAAATAAATCAACCATCCTCTTCAACTTCCATTGTTTCTTTTTCTACTGCATTATATTATGGATTTTGAAAACTTTTATAATAAGAATTAATCTTTATGTGAAATTTTGGAAATTTCTGACATTCTTCTATATATTTTTATTTTATACTTAAGAAAGTTTTCCCTTATTTGCAATATCTAGTATATGTATGAGTCAAGCAGAAAAGGTCAGATAAGGTGATGTTAGGAAAATTAACCCTAAGATATGTATTCAAATGCTTTTTTTTCTTTCATGCATTTGTTTCTAACGCATATATAAGATTATTTCTTTGTTGCTTTGTATGTCCCTTCCCCACAGTATAACCTGTGCTTTCACTGTATTTGATGTTGGTATAATTTGTGGAGGGGAAGGGGAAAAACAAGTCGTATAAATAAGGACACAGGTGGACCCATTGCAACAATGAGATGTACAAGTCCTTATGTCGAAAACGAACTTCACGACTTTGGTGGGGGGGGGAGGATTGGGTGGGGGGACGGTGGAAGGATGGGAAGGGATGGGAAGGGGAAACAAAGGAGGAGGCTACAATGCTTGATAAGAAATGTACTCATTATCTTGCCCATCTAATTGTAACCCCTCTGTACAGAATTTTCACAATAAAAAATAAATAAAAATTAAAAACAAGAAAATAAATGTCCAGTATTTTCACAATAAAAAAACTAAAATTAAAAAAAAGAAAATATATGTAATAAAGATGTTTTATCTTTAGAAATCTGGAAGCATGAAGGCATAATTTTCTATAGATAACCAGTAGAAAAGCTAGAGGTTACTAAATTTTAAAACAAAGACAGTCTCAAAAGTTATTCATTGAATCTGAAACATGCTCTTGTTTGAAGAAAGAGTAATATTTACAAAAGGCTTTTTGTCAATAATTAAATAAATATGTATCAAAAATCCTTCCTCTAGCATCTCTCTCATGTTTTCAATATTCCTCTGATGATTTGTGACATTTACTCTCAAGTCCATGAAATCTGTGTACAAACATTTCATAAAATATGTTTTTTGTATTCCTGAGATACAGCCTCAATCCACAAATAAGTACTCTTGATGAGGTTTCCCAGTGCATACTTACTCAATTTTAAATTAACATGAGTTCATATTTTAATATTGTATTAGTCTACATCTATTCTTATGACACAGACATGTTTTCAGAAGCTATTTCTGTCAATCAAAGTTGCCAGTGAATCAGCCTCTTCAGGGAATTGTACTAACAAAAACGCAATTAAGTTATTAAGCATGATTTATTTTAGCGTGCCTGAACTCAGGTCTAGTTACTGCTTTCCAGTTATTCTTCGTGTTTACATAAAAATTCTGTACATATTTATAAGATGATTTCTTTGTTGCTTTGTATGTCGCTCCCCTATGGTATAACCCCTGCTTTCACTGTATTTGATGTTGGTATAATTTGTGGAGGGGAAGGGAAAAAAACAAATCGTTTAAATAGGGATACAGGTGGACCCATTGCAACAATGAGATGTACAAGTCGTTATGTCGAAAAACGAACTTTACAACTTCGTTCGGGGCGGGGGAGGCTCGGATGGGGGTTACGGGTGGGGGATGGGAAGGGGAATCAAAGAAGGAAGCAACAATGCTTGATAAGAAATGTACTCATTATCTTGCCCATCTTATTGTAACCCCTCTGTACGGTATTTTTACAATAAAAGATAAATAAATAAATAAAAATTCTGTACTCACTGTTGTTTTACTAAAGAAATGATCAGCCCATTTCCCTTCAAGGATGTACATGAAGGGAAAGGAAAGAAGAAATAAGAACTGCAAAAATTAGTTGTGTGTGCGTGTGTGTGTGTGTGTGTGTGTATGTGTGAGACAGTTTTATACATTTCTCTCTATTTTCTGAATATATTTAAATATATTTTGATTTTTAACTGTATTCTCACAACTCATATCAAGTCTTATTATGGTTTCTAATTTTTTTGTTTTTACTTTTCCTTTAAAGAGTTATATCTAAGTTACAATGCACTTTCAAATTTAAAAGTATGTAGGGATTAAGTAATTGCCAATTCTCAAAATGTATGTTTTGAAGGGTCTTCATGAGTACCTACCTTATAACTGACTGGCAAATCCTGACAATCCTGAGAACATCCACTGACTTTCTTACTCAAGCACTCATTTATGTGGCAGTTTATCTCATCAGAGCCATCGCCACAGTCATCCTTACTGTCACAGAGACCTCCACTGGGAATGCACCTGCCATTTTTGCACATAAAAAATGAACTGTTGCATGTATGTTCTGGAAAAAGAAAATAAAACAAATGGAATATAAAGGGCATGCCATTTTTATACTACCATTCTCGAAAACATTCACAACTATGATTCCTAATTGTCAAATATTAAAATAAATATATGCTTATATAAAATACTGTACAGTTAGTATAATATTTTATGCATAAACTGTAGAAAACTAAGGACATATTGCTTGCAGGTATTCCACATTTTGCCCATCTAGTTTTACTGTGAAAATTAACAATCAAATGAGATTCTATACTAAAGTTAATGGACTATCTGTGTCTCATCTATACCATGAAAAATGATTTCAAAGCACAATGGATAGTCTGACATTTCCATCAAACTATAGGTCCTAGAGGAATTGTATGTCACTTAAAATTAAGAATCTAGTATACTTATATAATCCTAAATTTTTTCTTCCACAAAACATAACACTGACATTTTTAAGTCAGTGAATAATAGTTGTTCCAAATATAGCTTTGGAAAAGGAGTTCAGGTAGTATAGCTACTCATAACCAGATGATTTGAATACTACTCATAATCATACATGCAAAAATGTTGCCTATTAATCAGTAAACTACATAGAAAAAGGTGATTCAGTTCATTCTAAAATCATGGCTATCTATTCGCTCTTTGGTATAGTGAGGTAAAAAGTATGATGAGTATGTAGGTGTATCTGTATTTCTGATCAAGTTATATGTAAAGTTTCATTGTGCCTAGTTATGAAGTATACATACTATTTTCAGTAAGTAGTTATAATGTCTTACACTTATTTTTTTATCGAGGTACAGGGATTATATATGAGGAGAAATGTTTATAATCTACCCTCAGGTTCTGTACCTGCACTTTTACACTTGGGGTTTAAAGGTGCTTCATCAGAATGGTCAGGGCAGTCAAAATCTCCATCACACTGCCACTGGGTATTTAGAAGGCATCGCCCATCAGCACAACGGAATTCTTCTGCAGTACATTGATGGTATCCTAGAGAAAAAGGAACAATCACGATGACTAATTCACTAGTCAATATGAATTAATAATCCATCCCATCTATGCATGCTTCACCTGATTAATCATGAAATTATTTGGGCCTCCTACTAGAAATCTCCATTTTACTGTATTGCAATACTCATAGTTGCAAAAAAATATTTGATATTTGAAAGTAGAGAAAAGGACTAACAAATGAGGCTGGAAATAATATAATCTTATTTTTCTAAGAGAAGAAATAAGAAGGCAACAAACTTGAGTAGAACAATTCTGTAACCTATTGCCTATATTTTAGGGATTTTACTTAGAATGGAAAACTGAAATGAAACTATTAGAATTTTTTTCAAGATGAAATTTTTCTAGATATAGGATCAGAACAGATGGATAGACTGATGCTGTGCTATACCAGTATTTCACAAAAGACAAAATATCATATTAATGCCTGGAAAATTGTATTCAAAGTATAATGAAACTAAAATGATAAAACAATCTATTTATCAAGCAATAAGCAAAATTATTATTAGAATTATCTTGAATGTCAGGCATAAAATAATATTCATATTACAAAATAAGTTCATAACTTGTTAATGTTTGTACACATGTCTGATTTTGTAAGTAAAATTAATTTGACTTTTTCATGTTACATTTTAGAATGATTTTTTCCTGTTTTTTGTCAATCATGAAACCAGTCATTCTCATTAAAATTTTCTGATAAACAAAATAAACTTACTACTTTTAGATGGCTTAAAAAAGAAAATCATAAAATTCAGTGGTGATAGAGAATTTAATAGTGAATATCTAACTGAAGTGATTGCCATATTTCAATATGAAAGTAGAGAATTATGATATCCTCAACTTCCATACTTATTCTCTCTTTTTTTTACTAGCTTGTTCTCCACAGCCAATAAATAGTTACTCGGCCAAACTAACAATGTAAGACCCTCTATGCATCCCTAAACAACAAGTTTCTCTTCTTTGTACTCTATAATCTTGGTTCCAGGTATTTACTTCCAGTTCAAGTTTAGTCATCTTGTATCTGCAACAACTGACTTTTATAATGTCTCTTAGACATAAAAATATTAACCGGTAGGTTTCAAATTCAAAGTTTCTTTGAAAGTCTATAGACTTATAGACTCGATTTTTTTATTGCTATTGTGAAAGTGATGTACAGAGGAGTTACAGTTACATATGTAAGGTAATGAGTACATTTCTTTTAGAACAGTGTCACCTCTTCCCTCAATTTTTCCCAGTGTTTTATTCCCTGCTGATCTCCCCACAAGTTATATAGTTTATTTTCAACCAAGTATCTATAAAAATCACTGCTGTGTTCGTTCATCTTTGTCCCACCATTTCTGTGTTCCTCATTACCCTCCCCCAAACAGAAAAACTTACATGTAAGACAAAAGGTACAGAAAACAAAAACAGTGATAAAAATAAAGAAAAAAGCAAAATAACAAAAAACGTTGTGTTTTCCATTTCTTGTAATTCATGTCAATAAATATTTGATCATATGCACATAGTTATTGAGCTTTTGTAATCCTCTCCTAAGACTATCTTCCTTCACTATCACTGTGGTAATGTCTAGATTCTTGTTTAATTTTTCATGCCCAAGGGTGTTATTCACTTAAAGATTTATAAGTACATTCTAGTCACAACAAATGAGGGAAACCATATTATCTTAGAAACAATTTCTGGGTTTAATATTTATGGTCGGCCCTTCTAGGTTCCCACACAACTTTAGCTGCATCCTTCTTTCCCCTTTCTGGATAAAGTCTTTCTTCGTCCCAATCTAAAATGATGGAGGAGAAGCTCTAATTTAAATCTTAAGTTTACTACTGTCCTGCTTTTTTATGTTTTCTAGGTACTTGGATTTCTTATTATCCTTAAATGTCACTTTTACAATGATCTAAACTGAAGAAACTTTACCTAACCTCATTGTTTCAAGCACGCAAACAGCATGGTTTTTGTGATCATCTTACTGGCAAAAAAATCACAGTAATTATTTTTTATAACTTTCTACTCCATCAGAGAATTGGCTATCATTCTGTATTCCAAAGATCACGAATACTGAACACTTCTACCAAGACATTTTTGCTGGGAAATATTTCATCATTCATATATTTTGTATATTAACAAACAAAAAAGTACAGCACAAGTGTAAATGAACTTGATATTCTGTCCATCACATCCCATCATCACCCATTTGGCTAACACATTGCTAACTTCAAGAATTATTTCAGTGACTGCTTCACTAGTTTATTTTCCCCTCATGGCTGTCTTCCTCCACAGCAAGATTTCTTCTACTCTGCTGAAAAGATGATTCTACAACATAAATTAGACCATGGCATACCACTATTTCAAAAAAGTTGCTGGCTTAAAAAGCAAAACAATTAAATAGGAATTATCTAACTATGTGTTTGAGGCTTTTTCTAATATACCACCAATTTAACCTTTTAACTTCAGCTTAACCTCACAGAAGGCTAATTGCTGTGCGGTCATACCAATTTACAGATTTTATATACACATCTAGAATTTGTGCATCTTGTAGTACTCAAAATGCTTTCACATATTATCTCAGTCCTCTAAGAGCTCTTAATATTAAGAGTTGTCACTTAATTGACATAAGTGTGCATATTTTACAAATGAGTAAACTGAGGCATGGGGAGTTGAAATATTTTCTCAGTATCAGAGAGCTAGGAGGTAAGAGGTGCACAAAGCCAGAATGTCAGACATGTTATTAATCAAGCATGTTATTAATCACCAACTCATGCTTTCTAGTATTCAGGTATAGGGGGATATACCTATATAAACATGCTATAGAAATAAGAACATTGTTATAATACTTTAAATTTCACCAAATTGGCATGTATATAAAGGGAACAGAAAATGTTAAGTAATTGTATTTTTCTCATTATTATCCCAAATGAAATTCCTTTTGCACACTGAAATATATGATGTTCTTTTAATATCGAAACCAACCACATACTGCCTATATATTTCCAAGTGCTTGAAAACACTTCAAACCATATCCATTTTTATAGGTATCTCCCAACATCGTTGCTAACTGTTACAAATATGTTACAAGTAAACATGATTTACAAATAAATGTACATAAATTACATGTTACATGTAATTTTATTTTATATCACTGAATTTACAGGCACTTAGTATCATTAATAAAAGCATGTGACTGTTCTTGTTATGTGATTGTTCTTATGTACTTATGCATTCCAAGTCATCTAAAAATGTTTAACCAGTGAATCTGATCCATGGATGTTGAGACCTACTTACCACATGACAAGGGTTCATCAGACCCATCTCCACAGTCATCATCATGGTCACAAACAAACTGTTTAGGAATGCATACTTTATTGTGGCACATGAAGGAATTGTCATCACATGTATTATTGGGAGCTAAGAAAATAAACACAAAGTGTAATGTTAGATGAGCATATGTTATTTTCCCCCACAATAGAAATAGAATATTTATAAGTACCTAAAAATAAATGCATAATATCCATAATATATATATTCATGAATATATTGGAATATATAGACACAGTTTAAATCTTAGTATTAACACTTTGTGGATTATTTCTGACTAACCACAGAACTGACACTTATAAAGACATATTTAAGTTTTCTGAATGATTATTGAAATATTATATGTTGGAAAAACTCAGTTGGGTAATAACATACATGTTTAGTTTTTCTGGACATAGACCTAGTAGAAAGTGTTGCTGCCTTATAAACCAGGAGCCATGGGCTCCTGTTCACGTAGAACTGAACCAAATCATATGAAAAGAGATCAAGTTACTATTTTTTAAAGGAAGATAAAACTTTTTGCTACATTCAAGAATAGTGTTGAATTAATAGAGCCAAAATCTGAGATGAAATGAGTCCTGTGTAAGAATCAAATAGCAATAAAAATGTGGCTGTCTGAGATGTAATATTGACCCTTTAGAAATCCTGAGAAAAGCTTTAACCAGTGTCAAAAATGACCCAAAAGGGAAATAATACTTAGATGAAAGAAACAAATCTCATTGCTATATGCTTAAAGGATCCTATAGTTTCAATAATTCCTGATTACATGTAAAGGTCAATACTATAGTCAGGTTCAAGGTTTGGTATATTGCACATGGGAAGAATCTGCTATATGTCATTGCAAAATACTTCATAGAATATCAAATTTCAGAAAGTATTTCTGTCACATATTCACATCCTTGAGGAAGCCATTTACCTTCTTGGCATATCCATTTTTTCTTCTGTTTAATGAAGATAATAAAAATCTGCCTGATAAATTTCTTATGACTAGAAGAAGTCCGTTTCACAGACCTTAGATCTTGGATCTAAGACATTCAATCAATTCCTAAGCACTCTTTAAATTCCTATCTACATCGTAATTATTTTGGCAGATTGCTCAAAATACTTTATTGAGATATCATGGAAATTCAATAATGCAAATAAAAAACACCAATCATGATATTTGACAGAGAACAGGCATGTGAAGCATCTTAGGTACCTGTCCTTCTTTCTTTTTATCTGAATAATCACAATCCTCCCTGTGGAACTGGACTCAGCCTTCTGTATGTCCTTCAAGATTGACAACATCATAATTTTTTCTTAAAGCTCTTCAATGAGAATTCCAGGATCATCTATCTATCTATCTATCTATCTATCTATCTATCTATCTATCTATCTATCTATCTATCTATCTATCTATCTATCTATCTATCTACCTATCTACCTATCTATCTACCTATCTATCTATCTATCTATCTATCTATCTATCTATCTATCTATCTATCTATCTATTTATCTAGCTATCTATCATCTGTCTATCTATAGCTTATATATATATATATATACACACATACATAGAAACATCTATATGTATATATACTAATACATACATATATACATACACAAAGAATTAAGCTAAAAGTTAAGCTATTGTAATTATTTTTTCTCATGTCATTTAGTCCTCAGATTTAGGCTGCCGTAAGCTCTATGAACCAAGAACTATCTGCTTTCCTGTCAGCAATAATTAACATAGAGTCATGAGTAGTATAGCAAAAAAGATTCTTTCACTGGAATCCAATTTACTACACTTTGAAAAAATTATTTTAACAACTACATAGAAGTCACAAAGAAACATCATTAAAAATTTGCCCATTATAATCAAAGTAAAATTCAGAGTTACTAATAACCCTTCTAACTTTTAACTGTGTGACAGCTTTATATAACTCAAGTGAATTATGCCAATGCTAATACATGACTTATTTCTTTTAAACACTGAGCAACATTAACTTATTTGGCATTAACACTTTCAGATCGCTTGAGTACCATTTGCTACATTTTTGCATAATTTACTTAATAGTACCCATGAGGTCCAAAAGTGTTAATATGCTTCCCAGAGTGTTAACTTGCTACAATAGCAACAGCATACTGGGACCATCTGGATCCCTGAATTGATGCATAATCTTTTATTATGTAGCCCTCAGTGGCCCCATTGACCTTTATAGACACACACATATCAGTTTCAAGATCAAAGTGAATTATTCTACCACTGTAGTGTGAATTCTTTGCAAGCAGGCCTATTCTAAGATTTCTATTTATTTGGTGCTTTGTCTACCTCTTTTAAGTACATACAACTGAATTCATGTACACTTACGTTATGGCTTCAGATACAGCATCTTAAAGATATAAAGACAAGTCATTGAGGAAAAATGATTGGCAGAATTAACTTTCACAAACTGAATTGATTGTACTATTTTTGATAAATTGCTCAACACAACAGATCCCTGTGTGACCTTGGGAGCTGCATTCAAATATTCAGTCCTTTCCTCTTTCCGATCACTCAGAGGAATGTATCTCATTTTTTTTAAACCATTGAGTTTTAGCTGAAAATTTCCTGAAACGATCAAGAGTCAGAAACTTGGTAAATTGTTTGACCTCCAAATGTGTTCCTTGAATCCCTTAGCTTCATTCAGCTATATCTCCACTATCCTCACCTGACCCAAGGGTTAATACCCTATCTGTAGGACTAATAGGTGTTTACTGACCTTCTGATCAGTGGATATCTAAGATCAGATCAGCCATTTACAGAGTATCTATACTAGACAATCTAAATGCTTTCTTGGGGGATGGAAGCCACTTAAAAGAAAGTATCAAAACCTGCCGCGCTCACAAACATAATGTAGTTATACTATCTTGGAGGGGGCGTGGTATTTCTGCACCTATAAAAATTGTTATTAAGTGGGTAATATCTCCTGTGTGGATCTGAAACACTCTGCAAGAGGGATGCTGAACTGTTTTGATAGCGACATCCGCTTAGGAAGGCTACTACGTATTCAAGAATGGGAAACATGGAGGAACCTGTGATACCCAGAGCCCTATGCAAAGACTGAAGGATGCTGCAGTTGTTTTGGTTTTGTTTTGTTTTGGACACCCAGTCCCAGCCAAGTACATACCACAGCCTGCTGTGGAAAGTTCATCGCTTCCATTGGGGCAGTCCCTCTCACCATCACAAAGCCAGTGTTGGGGCACGCAGGCATGGGAGCCCTGGCAGCTGAACATGTCAGCAGCACAGGTGACGTCACCTTAAACCCAAAAGAAAAATGTCATTACAATCACTATAGGTCCACTTGACAAAGCCTTTCAGTTACATTTCCTTTCCAAAGAGGGAAAACAGAATTTTCCTTATTCAATCCAAGAAGCTCCAGGAGGTAGAACCGTTAGTCTTATTTCATAGAAAAAAATGAATGCAGTACCAAATTCCTTCCTATTCCTGAGAACTTTCTCTTAACCGCTAATGTCATTTTTCATTCTATCACATCCTGTGTTGTTGGAAGGAACAAAACATGCTGCCTTTGATTTTATACATGTAATAATGTTTTCATAATAACTAGAATCTGCTTGTTCTCTGGTTTATGAATACAATGTCCCTTATGCTCATATGATATGATTTAAAAAATGCTTGTTGATTTGGACAGGAAATTCAAAGGATCATCTTCTCTTCCTAATGCAGATATAGTCAGTGTCATATCACTTCCTTCATGATGCTCATGGACCCTTATATAGATTTCTATAGTAAATGTTCCATTTATTTTATTTTATATTTATGTGAGTTAGTAGCCTGTACTTCAATCTAACTTTACAAAAGTTTCATGGTGCTATGTAAAAATTTCTTCAGTATATGTGTCAAAATATAGCATTAGATTTATGAAAATGAACCCTTCAATGGGATGCATATGTTATTTTTGAGTACAGCACTTGTCTAATATGTTCAGGGTCCTGGGTTCAATTCCCAACACTGGAAAACAATTCTAGAATGAGAACATGACTGATTCGACAGATGAATGTATTTCCTTTGATCATGTAGGGTTTAATGGAATGCTTATTATGTTCCCACTTTTCAGCTACCATGTTATAGACAGAAAATGCTCTGCACCATAATCTTTACAAAATAGGCCACTGAAGAAAATTCTTGCAAAATAACTTAGGGATCTTTTACACTTAATTATAGTTGTCTCTTACACATACTTTGGCCTGAAGAACAAGATGGTGAGTGAATACTGATAAGTTACCAGGTAATGTGAATCTAATCATTTAATTTAGAATCTGAGCTTTAGTAGAATGAGGTTTAACATGGAAGAAATCAGAAAAATATCCAAAAATATTTTTCATTTTTTAAAATGATTCTAACTGCTAATATATCTATTGTAACTTCTATAAATTTTGCTTTATAAAGTTGATCTTTGTATGGTTCCTTATATTTTCAAGCTTGCTCCATGAACAAATAAGGCAATTTACAATTTTGTACTTGCAATACTTTAAGTTGTAAGATTCTTCTTGTTATTCTCCTCATTTTTCCTTCTTATTTCTTGTTCCTCTTCTTCCTTCTTGTTCCACTTCTTCTTTCTTCTTCCTTCTTCCTTTACCTTCAGTCTTCTTTCCTCCTTATATTGGTTCTGGGTTTGAACTCGGGGACTGGACACTGTCTCTGAGCATCTTGCTCAATCTACTGCTCTACCAGTTGAGCTACATCTTCACTTCCAGCTTTTTTGGTGCTTAATTGGAGGTAAGTGTCTCATGCACTTTCCTGCCCAGGCTTGTTTTTGACATGGATCCTCAGATCACAGCCTCTTTAGTAGCTAAAATACAAGTGTGAGACACTGGCCACTCATGATATTTCTATTATATAACCTGAAGTTTTAAATTTCTGCATTGTCTTTGATGTAACATCATTATTTGCCTCAGTATAATCATTATATTATTTTGGGGGCTAATTTGTAAGTGGGAAAGCTAATTTTGCATGTCTTTGACATTAGAGAAAAGTGATATCAGAATTTCCCTCTTTTAGAATGAGGGATTTGACTACATAATTAAAAAGTGATCTCAGACTATAAGATGGCAGATGGTTCTTTGCAGGTAACTTAATCGCTCCCTTAAAAATGTTCTTCTAACCAGGCACCAGTGGCTGACATCTGTAATCCTAGCTACTTAGGAGGCCATGATCTGAGTATCAGGATTCAAAGCCAGCTGAGTCAGGAAAGTCCCTAAGAGCTGTATCTCCAATTAACCACCAGGAATCCGAAAGTGGTTCTGGGTCTCAAGTGGTAGCATGCTTATTTTGAGCTGAAGAGCTCATGGACAGTGCATAGGCTCAGGGTTCAAGCCCTATGACAGACAAAAACAAAAACAAAAACAAAAAACCAAAAAACCTAACAACTAATGTTCTTCTGATACTAAGCAAAATGACCCCAAGATATGGACACAAAAGGTTTTTCTTGGTGGTGGTTGTTTTTAATGTACTATGTGATTTTTTTTGTTTCTTTTGTATGTTCTTCCCCCTATGGTATATCCCCTGTTGTCACTGTAGTTGATTTTGGTACCCTGGTATGTAGATACATTTATTTGAATTAGGGAAGGGAAAGGGAACAATAGAGTGGTGAGACAAAGGACAGAGGGGAACCAATGCAACAGCTATATACAGGACAAGATGGTAGAAATGATCTGTACAACTTGCAGGGAGGAAGGAGAGTAAGAGAAAGTAGGAGGGAAGGGGCAGCAAATTTGACAAGAAATGTACTCATTACTTTACACATGTAACTGGAACCCCTCTGTACAGCATCTTTACCATAAAATAAAGTTTGAAAAATGTTCTTCTGATTCTTTGAGAGACAATGGGCAAAATAACAAACAAACAAACAACTCATTCCATGGGTGGCATTGCTATCTGGAGACATAACACCTTCCCCAGAGAAAACATTTCCAAAGGAGAGGAAAACCAAGCTGATGTGATATATTCCATCCTTCTTGTGTGGGCTCAGATAATCAATAGTCAAATTATAGGAGTCACTATTGTACTTAGTAATATGGAACCTGAAATGAAGTACCTAGTTCTGACATCAGTAATTAGCTGAGTGCCTTCAGGTAATTTTTTACATCTCTCTAAGGTTTTCTATTTCTTTTATTTTTACTGGTAGAAAGATGAAGTTAGATTAGATATATTTTCCAAAAATAAGGCCATTGGAATTATAGTCAGAATTCCTCCATGCTGGTTAAAGAGATGTGTAATGTGGAGATGGGGAACCTAAATTTTAAGAGCATGAAAAGATATTCAGTACAATGAGTTGGGAATCACTGAGATTAATCACTTGCAAGTTTCCTTTCCTATTCTATATTATACTTCAGTGTGTTACTCGTTTGTTGTTAAAAGTAGTATTTTGAGTTACTAGGATGCAAGTATACAACATATCGGGTATAAGTAAATAAATAAAATTTGATGGTCCATCAACTGGTCCACTAACATTTCGTCATTTACTTAATGAAATATTGGGACATTTATGTATAGCGATAAAGTTATAGAGATAGAGATATGTATATAGGCATATATATTTAAGAAAAATAATAGCATTTCATTAAAAGAAGAGAGACAAGAGAAAAGAGATGGTATTATAGTAATGAATAATATATATATATTGGTTTTGTTATTTTAATAATTATATATAAATCTTGTTTGTATCCATTTTACAAGGAATCATAGAAATAAGCATTGAAATTATTGCCATTATCAAAGAGCTTGCAAATCCATTATCAATGGATTTAAGAATTATTAATGGAGTTATTTTGTGTAGTGTGAAATAAAAGATGAAAAACAAGATAATTTTAGACAATAGAAACATGTTTATCCCATTGTTACTAGGTAATACTGTGTTAAAATAATATTTAATTCTAAAGGGAAGAAATTAGAGAGTAGCCAGTCATCTAAATAATAACTATTATTTGTTTTGTGTCCAGAGCTTTTGGAGTGTGACTATACTATATTTTTTTCTTCACTGTCTTCATAAGTATATGATTTCCGCTATGGAAAAAGAAAATAGAGACTGGGTGTTTTAAATATAGGAACTGCCTATTTTCATGAAATATATCAACTACATAAAATTTATATAGAGCTTTGGTTGAGCCCAGAGTGCTTTGAAATAGCTTTCCTGTTTCAGCTGTCTCAGAGCAGGACGCAAGAAGAAAAAAACTGAAGAACTATTAGGAATTTTTTTTGGGGGGGGTCCGGTTGTGGGGCCTGAACTCTGGGCCTGGGCGCTGTCCCTCAGCTCTTCAGCTCAAGGCTAGAGCTCTACCACTTGAGTCACAGCACCACTTCTGGCTTTTTTTTTCTTTTTGCTTATGTGGTGCTGAGGAATCGAACCCAGGGCCTCAGGCATGCAAGGCAAGCGCTCTACCACTGAGCCACCTTCCCAGCCCCTATTAGGAATTTTTAATTGTACACATACTTGATTTCATGAGTCACCTCCTTCTCTTTTTAAGATGGGAGTAATAGGCATCAAAAAGTTCTGATATTACAAGTGAAGGATAATAGCTATAGCTACAAACACATGATAGTCAGAACCAATAGTCAATATAAATGAAATAAATTTAGTATAGTACTTAACCAATTGTAACTTGTTTGTAAAGCTATTCTCCTTCCTGTACCCCTTGAGAAATATAAGCTATGTGATCAATGTAGGCTCTTTGATAAATCTGTGTGATTACTAAAAATCAATTTGCATTGAAGATTTAGTTAATATAAAGAATGTAACTATACATGCTTGATATTAATATGTACAATCATATATACACTAAATCATAAAATACTTTTAGTCTCATACATATTAGCCACCATTCTTTACATTCCCTTTAAAATAACTCAGTAAAATCAGACACTGTAAAATATACACATTGAAAAACATAAACAATAAATATGGTTGTTTGGTGGCAGTGTGAATTCACCTACTAATTTGGGAAGTTAACTAACAACATATTTCAAGAGTTACTCAAAACTAGTTCCTTTATTTTACAGCAACCTGAATCACTGTGATGTCTCCAAGGAAGTCACAATAAACAAATAAAATGGACAGACACATTTCTTGTGAGAATATTGAAGAAAAGCCTTACATATAACATAACTATTTAAAAACTAAAATGAGCTGTAACTAATATAAGTACATATACATACAAAAGTACAGAAAATGGAGTGACAAATTTACTAGAAAAAATATTCTGTGTGTCCCAGAACCTATATTACTTAAAAATTAATTGAGACCACTAAAAAATCAACTCACCACAAATACTGTCACTTTCATCGAGTCCATTCCCACAGTCATCCTCTCCATCACAAATCCAGTGTTTAGAAATACATTTTTGTGTAGAACAAGCAAACTGGTTCCAAGAGCAAGAAGAATCTAGAAAAGGAACAAACAAGGATATTTTGGGGTTTTTTGTTTGTTTGTTTTAGGTAAAACATCTGGTGTCTTATTGTATAATGAAGTGACTACACTTACCTAAACCATGCTATCTTATTTTTACACTAAGTGGAAAAAATTTGAAGCTTTCTACATTAAGTAATAATCGATGTGGAAACACAAATGATTATCCTGATAATCTTATCATTGCATGGTATGTACAAGTAACAAGTCAGCAATAGTGTTCCAAAAGTATTAACAATTGTCAATTGTCATTATTTTAGAAAGGAAAATAGATTTGTTGAGATCACCTCAGAACATCGTCCACAGTAAAAAAAAAAGTTTGTTCTTAATAGTATTACAAAAACCATCCTAGAATAAAGCTAACCAATTCCCTATAAAATTTTGACAAGTATTTGCATATTCCTTCAGTATTTCCAGTACACCACTGTCTTCCTTTAACATGATTCTCAGAGGCTGTCTTTGAGGTACTCAGTATGCTGGCTGCCTCTCTTATAATTTTCATTATAGTCATTTCTTTAAAATGTGTGCTGTGAGCACATAAAGTAGATAATTCTGATGTAGGTACACTTAGTAATCCTTTTAAAAATTTGAAAAGAAAGAAAGAAAAGTACATCATCCCAAACAAAGTTAAGATAGGTTGAACTGACTAGCCAATGCTTGTTTATACAAGTGAAGTGACTTAAAAACTTTAATTTAATGACAAGTTAATATGTATCTAATACATTGATCCCTTTGTTTCAGTTATTTATAAACACTACATTGTAAAATACTTGGCTAAAATACCCAAATTAATTACAATAGTGACTTCTTGTTTTTTTTCTTAAAACTTAGGCACTTATATTACAGACTCCATTTCTGTCCATAGTTAATATTGTTATAGTTTTAAATCACACCCTCTATACCAACAGCAAATATCCTCTCAAGAAAAATAGTTAAAAATAACCTATTATATAAACATCAATGTGTCTTTACTCCTAAAGACTGTTTTAAACAATTGAATTTCCAATTGAAAATATTGATTTAAATAGTCAAAGAAAATTTAGACAACTGATGCTTAGGGGAAAAATAAAAGAAATATAATTATAGAATGGCTTCCAGTTTTAGAAATTATGACTCCACCTAAAATATTTAGAAGTTTATGGTGAACCTTCTCCAGAATGTGGCTCTGATGTAAAGATATATAGGATCTTAATCAAACAAAATGTACTTTTTCATTTCATGACATTTACTTTTAGGAGAGTTTGACATTTCATAGAAGATCCATTTTTAGTCTTTTTATCCCACTCTTTCTATTCATCATAGTGTATGTTACTTATGTTAAGAGAAAATAGCAGATATATGCTCTGTTTTCCTTTAGGAAATTTCTGTGGCCTGCAAATCACAAAAATCTATAAATTTTGTAAAATAATTTTTAAGGCTGTTTTTTACCTTATCGATAGGAAATGAAATGTGCACCCTCAGAAATTAAAAGCTGAAGAGCAAGGGATGAATATTTGAAGCAATTGAGGTTTGAGTCTATTATTTGAAGCCACACACACAATTTAATAGAAAATTTAACATAATATAACTCTCACAACAATATGGAGTATAATGTCACTCAAAATTTTATTTTTTAATTAAATATAAATATATTAATGTCATCTTAAATAAATAAGAAAATGAATATATATATATTAGTGTAATATATATATATATATATATATATATATATATATATATATTACACAAATAGAAGTAGCTTTTTTTTTTTTTTTTGGTCGTGGAGCTTGAACTCTGGGCCTGGACAATGTCCCTGAGCTCTTCAGCTCAGCATTTTACCACTTGAGCGACAGTGCTCTTCTGGTTTTCTAGTGGTTTATTGGAGGTAAGAGTCTCATGTACTTTCTTGCCATAGCTGGCTGTGAACAGTGTTCCACAGATCTCAGCTTCCTGAGTAGCTAGGATTACAGGTGTGAGCCACCAACATCCAGCAAAATAACCAATTTTTAAGTATAGGTTTAAAGAAAACATTATTAGCACCAATTCCATTTTTTGGTTTATTTTAACCCATCTCATATGAGCTAACAAAAGTAAAATCAAAGTTAACATCCATTAACATTTTGTATAAGATCTGTATGTAAGGGAATAGTGGCATATAAATAATAACAAGATGTATAAAATTAAAACAAGTTATAATTCCTCACCACAGTGGAATTCATCAAGCCCATCCTCACAATCTTTCTGACCATCACATATCCAGCTATTCAAAATGCATCTTCCACTAGGACAACCAAAATAATTTTCTTCACATTTGTGTTTGCTTTGAACTGTGGTAGAATATAGAATGCAATGTCAAATACTTTAAATTATTATTAGACTTTTTCAATTTTATGTAGATACAGGGCTTAAGCTGTAAATGATAAAGAACAGGCAAAAATACTAGTTGACATATTCTCCTTAAGCTCCAAGAAGAGAATGAAAAACCATCAGATACCAAAGGAAATAGCCAAAAATGACAATTAAATCCAGTTTAACAATGTACTGTTCAGTCTCTAAGCACTATAGAATTTTCTATGGTGGCTTTAGTGTTGAGCTTGAAGTTTATTTCATTATGTTCTGAGAAAATGCAGGGAATAATATCAATATTTCTTAATTTTCAGATTTGCTTTGTGCCCTCGAATGTGACCTATTTTGTAGAATTATATATGTGCTGCTGAAAGAACATATTCTGTAAGATATCTGTTCAGACTAGTTAGTCTGTGCAATTGTTTAGTCTGAAGTTTCTCTGTTGAGTTTTTGCCTATCCAGAGGTGGCAGTGGTATGTTAAAGCCACCAACAAATCAATGTGTTTCAACCTATGTGTGTTTTTAGTGTAAGTAGTGTTTGATGAATTTGGGTGTTCTGGCATTTGGTGTGTAGAAGTTTAGGATTGTTAAATCCTCCTGTAGGAAATATCTCACTAATTTAATTTTACTTTATTTTTTATTTTTTAAATTAGTTTTTACTGTGAAAATACTGTACAGAGGGATTACAATCACTTGAGCAAAGTAATGAGTAAATTTTTTTATCAAGCATTGCTGTCTCCTCCTTTGTTTCCCCTTCCCATACCTTCCCATATCTCCTGGTCCCCATCCCCCGCCAATTGTAAAGTTCATTTTTTGACATAGTGTCTTGTACATCTCATTGTTTCAGTGGCTCAAACTGTATCCTTATTTAAGCAATTTGTTTTCCTTCTCCCCAAATTATACCAACATCAAATACAGTGAAAATAGGGGTTATACCATGGGGGAGGGACATACAAAAAATCACGTGGTACCTTATAAATACATTAGAAACAATAGCAAGAAAGAAAAAAGAAAACACTTGTATCCTTATCTTGGGGTTCATTTCACTTAATATCATTTTATCTGACCTTTTCTGCTTGTCTCAGATATATACTAGCTGTTGCAAATAAAGGAAACCGTGGGACTTACGTATCTTTGTGCCTGGCTTACTTCACTCAATATAATTTTTTTCCAAGTCTTTCCATTTCACTAATTTTAATTTGAAGTCTATTTTATTTGAAATCAGGATTGCAAATCAAGCTACCATCATAAACATGTTCATTGCAGCATTATTTACCATGGATAAGATATGGAACCAAACCAGATGCCCCTCAGTGGATGCATGGATCAAAAATGAAGTTCTATGTTCCCATCAGAAAGAATGACATTGCCTCATTCATAAGGAAATAGAAAGACCCTGAAAAAATTGTATTAAGCAAAGTAACCCAAACCCAAAGAAAAATAGGCTGTATGGTTTCTCTCATTTGTAATAACTAGACTAAGGTCTATGAGTTCATTGGACTATATATAGTGAAGCATGTTGACTTAAAATCCAAGAATTAGAATCAAGAAGTTCTTATTATGTCCTTATGTGGTTATTTTTTTACATTTTTATTGTCAAGGTGATGTACAGAGGGGTTAAAATTATGTTAGTAAAGTAATAAGTACCTTTCTTGTCACACTTGTTATCCCTTCCCTCATTTTTCTCCTACTTTCCATCTCCCGCCACTCTACCCTCAAGTTGTACAAATCATTTCCAACATAATGTCTTGTGTTTATCGCTCTTACATTGTTTTCCCCTCTTGTCCTATTCTCACTATTTTGTGTTCCCCTTTTCTTTATTTCCAATAATTAGTGTATGTCTACGGTAATCTTAGCAGATGAGCAGAATAGCTCAACAGCTATGTATATATGACCATATAAGAAAATGCTAAGCAAAATGAACTCGGAGATATGGAAAGGAGAGGTTTTCTTTGTTGTTGTGGTCTTATTGTACTATGTGAATTTTTTCTTTTGTATTTTCTTCCCCCTATTGTACATGCTCTGTAGTCACTATAAATACAGTGACCCTGGTATTGTATGTACATTTATTTGAACTAGGGAAGGGAAGTGGGACAACAGAATGGTGAGACAAAGAACAAGGGGGAACCAATACAACAGTGACATTCACAGGACAATATGTTGGAAATGATCTGTACAACCTAGGGGTGGTGGTGCCAGGGAAGGAAAATAGGAAAAAAATGAGGGAAAAAGGTAACAAGTTTGACAAGATTTGTAGCTTTTTTGTTATTTTTTTGTTTTTTCTGTTTTAGTTTTCTCTACCTTTGTCTTGTATATAAGTTTATTCCATCTGTGGAAGGGAAAGGGAATCACAGAAACAGCAGGATGAATTAATGTAACATTGATACTCACTTGATACTATGTTGGAAATAAACTTTGCAACCTTGGGGGGGGATGGTTAGGGATGGGTAGGGGGAAGAAAAGGAGGGATGGGGTAACTGTGTTTAAAACAAAAGTACTCATTACATTACTCGTGTAACTGTAACCCCCTGCTCGTTACCTTTTCAATAAAGATGAAACGATACATAAAATAGATCCAGTTCAGGACTTGGCCTTAGAACAGACTTAAGCAATTGGCACATATGCTGGCTCTAGAAAATAGGATGGATATTGGAAATAAAATTAAAATGGGGAAAGTAACTTAAATGACTGTAAGTAGATGAATCTAACTTCAGAGAATCTTTGTGTGTGTGTGTGTGTGTGTGTGTGTGTGTGTGTGTGTGTGTGCCAGTACCAAGATATTTTCAGTATTATGGCTATGGTAGATTATGAAGTTTGGTATTGTTACAGAGAATCTTTTTTGAATGGAAAAAATATTCTCTTTTTTGGAATGGCAATGATTTATTAATTTTAATTTTATTTTATTGTAAAGATGTTGTACAGAGGGGTTACAGTTACATTAGTAAGGTAATGAGTACATTTCTTATGGAGCATTGTTACCCACTCCTTTGTTTTTCTCCTATTATCCCTCCCCCATCTCCCTCACTCCTCACCCCCACCAAAGTTGCAAAGTTCACTTCCAACATAGTGTCTTGTGAGTATCATTATTGAAATGGGTCATCCTCTCTCTTTGTTTCAGCATTTTGTTATGTCCCTTCTCGTCCCCAAATTAGAAAAATGTATATACAAGTTTCAGGGCACCAAAATCAAATACAGTGATGACATGGGATATACCATATAGGGGTAAGAATATACAAAAGAAACAAAAAAAATACATTAAAAACAATAACAACAAAGAAAAAGTCTTGTGTCCATACCTTGGGGTTCATTTCACTTAGCTTCATCTTATATGTCATATGTACATAGCTTTGGAGGTTTTCTGCTCATTGGATAAAATTATCCTAGCCATATACTAATTGCAAAAGAGAGAAGTCATGGGACCTATATTTATTTGTGTCTAGCTAGGTTACTTCACTTAAGAAGATTTTTTTCCAAGTCTTTCCATTTCTTTCCTTTCCATTTCCTAATAAATGGGGTGGTATCATTCTTTTTGATGGAAGCATAGAATCTATCTCTTTATCTCTCTCTCTCTCTCTCTCTATCTATCTATCTATCTATCACATTTTCTTGATCCATTGAATGGAAAATATTCTTAAGTATATACTCAAAAATTACAAAATAAATCTCAGTGTATATTTGTTTGAAAAATGTAGATTCTTTGTATCTATTTTCATTTATTCTGAATAGGATTTGATAAGAATCAAACAATAATTGTCTATTATAAGATAGAAGAACAAATTATATTGAAACTTCTTGAACTGTTATAGAGCTGATGTGTAGCTGAGTGTTAGAATATGTACTCAACATATGTGAGGTCTTGGATTCAATCTTTAATGTCCCAAATATGTTAAAAAATAAATGTTTGTACTTTGAAAATAGTATCATGAGACTAAAAAGAACTATTTAAATCATTACAAAATAGAGTTACTATTATAATATTCAAGAGGGCATATGAAATACTGGATTTTTACTTTTATTATATGATATTGGACACAGTAATTTTAGATGTACCTTGGTTAAGCCCTTAGTCAATCAACAGTGAAGTAAACCTTAGAGAATATAAGCACAAAACACTGCAAAATATGCTATTATGAAAGTCTTGCCAGCTAAATAATGTGTTTTTGCTCATTCATGGAGTTTAGACTCAAATTTCTGCTGCTGCTGCTGCTGCTGAGGAGGAGGAGAAGGAAGAGGAGGAAGCGAGGGAGGTGGAGGAGGACAATAATGAAAGGAACATTGAAATATAAAGAGAATAAAAGTACATGACATATTTACTCATGAAGCAAGTATAATAAAATCCACTAAAAGAGGGAGGGAAGAAATAGGAGAGTTAGGGAAGAAAACAGGCTCTGGGGAATAAAACTTGGTCAAATAGACTGTATGTACCCATTGAATTATCAGAATGAAAGCAACTTGTATCATTTATGTGTGCTAATCATAAAATTATGGTATGAATAATTTTAAATTTTAACTTTATTTTTAAGAAGGAAACCACAGATCCAGTGTGTTCATTCTGAAATCATCATCACTATGCTTTACACCTTGACCTTCTTAGGAGTTTGCCAAGTTATTATCTGAAGTGTTTTGGCTGAGCTGCTGCTGGCTTCCTGCCTGTCTATCCACTTGTCTTATGAACCTGCACAAACATTCCTTTCCATCCTAGATAGAAAAAAAATTCTCACTTTCCAAAGAAGATCAATTTTAGGAATCAACAAATAATATGGGAAACAAAATAAAGTATCCATTTAATGAATGTCAATTATATGCTGCCTTTAAGATAATTTCAAAATAATAACATCAGCCAAATTAAGATAATGTGTCATTTCAAAAGAGATATTTGGGTTCATTATCTTGACAAACAGGCTCTACCAACCTAAAACAATAAAAATTCATTTTAAAATACTTATTGTAAACAGTAAAAGTGTATATAGGCAAAAGACAATGAGCTACAGTCCATGCAATGTTTTGTAACTCCATGTTGCTTTTCTTTTTATTCCAGTTACATTATACATATTTTTTTATCTTTTCAGTTTTCAACTTTTTATTTAAGTAGTTATAAAAATTTTTCATTTAACAAAGCAGTTTGTGAATATAATATATCTTGATCAGTGTCACCACTTCCAACATTCTCACCCCTCTCTTCTCTATCCACCCCTCCTTAATTTTGTTGGACATACATTATATTCTTGCTGCAACCGCCCTCTCTTCTCCTGTGCTTATTTTCTTCATTTGTCTACATCTTTCCCCTTGAACCTATGCCAGCCTTTCAAGTGCCTGCTTCCTGGTGTTTTACTTTTCTGAACTCTGATTTTAGATTTTTATAGAATTATACAATTTGAAATGTCTTTTGAATCTACCATATTTGGTTTAATATGTTTGTTTTTTGTGCTGTTTTTTATTGTGTTTTCAATGGAGAAATACATCTTCTGTTTACAAAATAGCTCTTGAAAAATACAAGGAGTACAGATACTATAAACAAATCAAACTTCAGTCATGAGACACTACATACATCATGCGAAAGCAACAGTGTGATCTCCAAGTTATGAAAACTAGAATTAAAAAGTCACTACACAGAAAAGGTCCAGGTTTCCAGCCTGGCAAAACTTGGATGCAGTTACATGAAATGCTTAATAAACTGAAGTTTTTTCTCCCCAATGTGTAAACAAAATGACAAGACTAAATCTGTGCTTGGCGATGTCGATCCAACTCTGAAGCTACACAAACAGACCCCTTTACAATTCGCCTGTTATTTGTTTATACGTACATACCACCCAACATATTTACCTGTGAATTTGTAAGTTAATGTAGTTTTCACAAAGTAAACCAAACATGAATCCTATTTTTTCTGGGCCTGACATACTTAATATAATTTTCCAAGTATTCCCATTTATTTATGAGAGGTACAATGGAAGGGGAAAATAGAGAGTATACAAGGAATTTAATTAATTAAATCCTGCCCAAAATCCCCCAAACAATCCAAGTAGTAAATAGGCTCATGAGCTAAACACATTCTTTTCAGAAGAAGAAATAAAAACGGCCAATAGACAAATGAATAAATGCTCAAGATCTCTGTGCATAAAGGAAATGCAAATCAAAACAACAGTGAGATTCTACCTCACCCCAGTTAGTATGATAACAAACAGTAACAGATGCTGGCAAGCAGGTTGCCAAAAGGGACCACTTTTTTATGTGTTTGGTGTAAATGTAAACTTTTCACTATGGAAAATAGAGGTCCCTCAAAAAATTAAACATACAACAACCTTATGATCCAGTGGTATCACTGCTGAGCATATATCCAAAAGATTACAAAGCAGGATGCCAAGTCACCATCACACACCATGGTTATTGTAGTACCATTCACTCTAGACAAGATATGGAATCAATCCAGATGTCCTTGAATGGACAAATGGGTCAAGAAAATGATATATTTGTACAATGGAATTGTACTCATCCATGTTGCTTTTCTACCTCAAGCAGAGAGACAGCCTACCTTTTGAAAACCAAAAAGGATTTAAACCAAAATGGTATTACAGAATGGTCCAACATCTTTATTACAAAAAAATATTTTTTATAGAAGACTATGTGTTTTTTTAATTGCTATGGGAAATATCCAATAAAAACATTATATAAAATATTTAAGAAACTTTTTATTTTAACAAATATGAGAAAAGTATATGGTTAGAGGCTGGGGTCTAAAAGGGGAATAAAAACGAAATTCAAAAGTATTCTGTTTTGCATACCCTTTTCCAATTTTATATGTACACAGTAAGTAAATTACAGGCATATGTATATGAATATATATTTTTATATATAATTTTAGTACCCTCAATTAGAATCACAGAAGGCATTCTCTAAAAAAAGCAGATGATACTTTTCAGAGCTTACATAGATTATGATGGCTTCTAGAAAGACACACATATACCTGTTGGACCTTGTTCCATAACAAAAATAACTGCTTCCTAAGTCCCTCTGTCCATAATTGTATATACTGTAACTGAATCCTCAAAAGAAAATTCTAGCTGTATGAGAACATTTAGCAAAGCTGGTAGTAAAAAAGTATAACTTTTCTTTTACTCTGTGAATAATGGTTACAAGTTTTACTATATTTCTCACAAATACTTATGGATTAAAGATTTTACTTTGCTTTGCTTTAATAATTAACTGATGGATTCTAGTGCTGGGGATTAAACTCAGCACTCTCTAGGCAAGCATCTATCACTGAATTACATCTCTAGCTCCGGATGATACATTATAAAAACATAATTACCAATTTCAAAATTATTAGTGAGGAGCTAAATATAAATAAAAGATCAAAATTTAGTGTCTATTCCTTTCTTTTCTTTTGAGATGGTCTCCTTTTGTACCTCAGGGCAGTCTTTTCTTCCCTCCCTCCCTCCCTCCTTCCCTTCCTCCCTTCCTTCCTTCCTTTCTTCCTTCTTTCCTCCCTGCCTCCTTCCCTCCCTCCCTACCTCCCTTCCTTCCTTCCTTCCTTGCTTTCTTGCTTTCTTTCTCTTTTTGGACAGTTTTGGAGCTTGAACTCATGGCCTGGGTTCTGTCCCTGAGCTTCTTTGTGCTCAAGACTAGCCCTCTACCAGTGGAGCCACAGCACCACTTCCATTTTTTTGGTGGTTAATTGGAGATAAAAGTCTCATGGGGATTTTTCTGCCCAGGCTATTTTTGAACCATGATTCTCAGATCTCAGCATCTAGAGTAGAATTACAGGTGTGGCTATAGTATTACTTTCTAAATGTTAGAATTATAAGTCATGTGCTACCTTGCCCAGTTTAGGACACATATCTTTAATAACCTCTTACACTCATTTAAATAGATCAAAGGACATTTTTTAGAAGGGAATAATTACTTTGTATTGTATATTATTTAAATGTTAATCTCAAACAGTGAAGACTAAAAATAACAATTAACAAATTCATCCAGCTATCTAAGTAGCTTTGAAATCTGTAAGGGAGGGACTATGCTCCTTTTCTTGTATTACCTGGACACTTTAATTCGTCTGAATAGTCGCCACAGTCATTAGAACCATCACATATCCAGCTTGGCAGAATGCACAGTGAGGTAGAATTACATTTTATGAACCCAGTAGTTTTCACTCCAAGTTTATAGAAATGTGTGCAGTTTGTATCACCTAAAATGATATAAACAAAAAATGAAAAAAATATCTCAGGTTCAAAGACTAGGCCACAGAGGCAAAAACAAAAAAAAGTTAGCTTGGAGAAAAACACAAAATTATCCTACACAAAAGAGGTTAATTACATATAAATTCTGGATGACACTGAGAAATAAGTTGGAGATCATTCAATGCAATACCAAAAGTGCCCAGGAATGAACAGATAAGAGGTAGTAAGGTGTCTTACTGCAGTTCTTTTCATCAGAAGCATCTGCACAATCTATGTTTTGGTTGCATCTTGCTGATCTTGGAATACAAGCCCCATCTGCACAGCGGAACTCAACAGTGGCACAGGTTGAAACTAGGAAAACAGGTAAATAAATAAATGAGTACATGAGAATAACTGCTTATTCATACACTGTTGACATTTTCATTAATGTAGTTTTTTTTTTTTGGTTTTTAACTCTGGGAAGTGTAAGATGACCATTGGCTCTCTACACAATGCTGGATCAATGCATCTTTTTTGTCTTCCCCTTTCCTTCCATTCTTCCCTGTGTTATGCTATTTCTCTTAAACTGCAATTACTTGTTCATGTATCTCAAGGCCTGTTAAATAATAAGTTTCATTAAAGAAAAGACTGTGCCCTGATCATCTTAGACATGTGGCTTTAACACTAAGACAGCTCTAAGAAATAATGTCCTTTGTGAATTTATTTCTTTTATTTTCTTTTTGCCCCTTTGGTTTATCCACTGTTGTCACTGTTTTTATTTTGGTACACTGTGACCTGTATGTATTTTAAGTTGATTTGGGGAAGGGGAATAACAAAATGGTGACACAAACAACAAAGGGTGAACCGATAGAACAGTGATACTCACAGACACTATGTTGGAAATGAACCTTATAACTTGGAAGGGAGTGGTGGTAGGGTAAGTTGGAAAAAAACAAGAGAGGGGGTAATTTGGGGAGGGAAGGGAACATGGGAGAAAAGCAAGAGAGGGGGGTAACACTAAGAAAACATGTACTCATTACCTTACTTATATAGTTGTACCATCTCTGTATATCACCTTTACAATAAAAGTAAATTCAATTAAAAAAGAAATAACTGTGTGCTGGTGGCTCATGCCTGTAATCCTAGCTACTCAAGAGGCTGAGATCTGAAGATCAAGGTTCAAAGCCAGCCCAGGCAGGAAAGTTTATGACACTCTTATCTCCAATTAACCATCAGAAACCTGGAAGTGTTGCTGTGGCTCAAATGGTAGAGCACTAGCCTTGAGCTGAAAAGCTGAGGAATAGTGCCCAGGCACAGAGTTCAAAACCCATGACTGACAAAAAAAAAGAAAAAGGAATAATGCATATTGAGGACAGTCCCCTCTCCTTTTATCTTCTACAGGAAAAGGCTATGAATAAAGGAAATGCTTAATTACATATCCCAATCTAGTTGTCAGAGATGCCTTCTCTCTGTGATAGAAACAGAGGCAGGGAAAATATGGAAATAAGGAGACAAAGGCAGATATGAAAGACGGAATGGGGACTAAGCATTCACTGTTATTCAGAGGAATGCACAGTCATTTGCACTCTGCTCTGACCTTTACAGAGGGCCATGTGAGTATAATATTTGCATAGATACTAAGTATGGCTCTTGCCAAGGAACACATAAATGTAGCATTCATTATTCTTATGGTTATAAAGTATACTTTACAATCTTCTGATATTTCTAGAAAAAAACCAGGTTTACAATAATATCATATGCAATTTGTTCAGAATACCTTTTTTATTGTTCATTTAAATTTATTTGTGTTGATACTGGGGTTTGAATACAGAAATAGGGTGTACTCCTTCAGGATTTCCTTTCCTTTCCTTTCCTCGCCTTTCTTTTCCTTTCCTTTCTTTCCTTTTCCTGTCTTTTCTGTTCTGTTCTTTTTCTAAGGCTAGTGCTCCAATATTTGAGCCACACTTCCTTCTGGTTTTCTGGCAGTTAATTGGAGATAAGATTCTCACAGATTTTCTTGCCCAGGCTGGCTTTAAACTGCAATCCTTAGATCTCAACCTCTTGTGTGGCTAGAATTACAGGTGTGAAATACTAGCATCTAGCTTCTGAATAAATTATTCTTTATCTAACATTTCTTTCTATGTTGCTTACCCATTCATTCCCATAGAACTGTTCCCAGTAATACGTTGGGAACAGGAGTGTGGCACATCATGTATGTTACATTCACTTAGAGAATTACACATTATAATAATGTACAACTTAAAAGGCTCTTTGAGTATGCTACTTTTACTCAATTTGTTATTTTAAACACCCTTTCTAATTATAACTAGAAATTATACCAATTGTAAATGGTTAAATTACATGAAAAATATGCAAATTTCACTCAAAGATGTGCTTGTCATTTGTATTTCATAATGCACGGTGTTTATTATATTTAATTGTATCTTGAAATTGCATACTTCTGTCTAAATGTTGATTAGAAAAAAGTTTTATTTACAATTTACAATTATAATTGCAGCTTTGTTTTCTTCATTAATGTAACATCTTAGCAAGTGACACAGATAACACCATTATAGTAGAGATAAATGCAATGTTCCAAAATAGAAAAAAAAATTGTATCTACAAAAGCAATATTTTCCTATATTCCTCTCTATTACATTCCATGCTCATTTTCCTATTAGTAGATATAAATATAATATTTAGCACAGAAGATAATCATGTCAGTTATTTACATTTTGTTTGTGACTTCACTATCTATTAGCAGACTCTTACTAATTACATTAAAATGATTTCTTCTAATCTTTTTGTTTAGAAGACAGAAGGCACTTGTCTGTAAAATAACATTTTAGATAGTTGTAATATTTTTAACAAAAAGCCTATAAAGGTTTATCTCTTAAGAAGCTAGCAGTGCTGTCTGATAGCATACTTGACATTAGTGTTCATGTCAGAAAGACTGCAATGGGGATGATTCCATCACCAATGTTCCTCTCTCTCCTTGTAAACTTCTACAGAGAAGCATTTAGTAAAAACTTAAGAAGTCCGTCTGAGGCTGTCATGGTGCCAGAGAAGGTGAAGAATCAGATTATCATTCTATGAAACTAGAGGGAGTATTTCACACAAATAAGACTGGAGATTTAGAGATTTTCATAGTTACGGAGTTTCTAAACCAATGTTGGAAGTTCTCAGGTGGAGTCAGGATATAGAATAACCTCTGCGAGGAGTAGGAAAGTGGAACAAGTAGAACGAACTTAGTCTGAATTCTGGGAAGAAGAAAGCAATAGGAAGAGGAACTGCAAATTAAAAGAAACTGAAACTGAGCAGAGCAGTTAGGAGACAATGTTTAAAAGAAAAGCACAGGAGAAGAGATGAGCTCAGAGGTCAGGAAGCTGGGATTGTCAGCAGAAATATTGTAGGTTACAGTTCTTCTTTTGCAACTATCAATAGACCTAGTGAATTCTAGTAAGGAGTGTTTGGCCTGGCATATTACCAAGTGAAAATGTGTACATAGAAATATATTGTCACTTTACATCTGGTCCTGCCTTCACAGATGACTTACTTACAGAGTTTGAGTAACATGAGAGGTTTAAATAGGTTGATAGGCTTAAAGAGGCAAAGTTGTTGTATAGATTGGGAGCTGCAGAATGACATAAGCAGTAAGAGCGAGACTGCATTAGAGACAACAAAGTTAAGTTGTGGGATTGGAAAAAACCCTCTGAAGTAGCAGAAACTTCATAAAATAACAAAAACGAATGTCTTTTCTAGACATCTTCCTGTTTTTTATCCTAAATTCTTATTTTCTTTTGAGCAATCAAGTATTGAAATTTGTTTTATTCTTTTGGGCTGGGAAGATGGCTCAGTGGTAGAGCGCTTGCCTTGCATGCATGAGGCCCTGAGTTCGATTCCTCAGCACTACACAAACAAAAAGGAAAAAGCCAGAAGTGGCACTGTGGCTCAAGTGCTAGAGCACTAGCCTTGAGCTGAAGAGCTGAAGGACAGCGCCCAGGCCCAGAGTTCAGGCCACACGACCAGACCCCCCAAAAAAAGAAAAAAAAGAAATTAGTTTCATTCTCTAGGTGATATATTTTATAGAGAATGATACTGAAATATCCAAATTGTCAGGTGAATATGAAAATTTTCTGCAAAATATTTCCTGAGGCCAAATGCCTTAAAAGGAAAGTAAAGAAAACAATGTGGTCAAAGTAAAGAAACTCTAAGTAAGACTTAGAATACCCTTCAGATAGTCCCAAAGCAAAATTTGGCCTACAGAATATCAGTGAAAACATACTATGAATACACCAGGAATAGTAATCAGGTGGCATAAAGCATGAAGCAGTGACCGGGATTGTAGATGAAAGTATAGTTCAGAGAAATAGAAAAGCATCCTCTCCTTTGAATGATTTCTAAATTGTCCTATTCTTATCCATTTGTATACCAAGTCATTGAACACATTTAGCAAAATATGAAATACATAAAAATCAGTATGTTTGCCCTGTGGTTCTTAAGATGGTTCTTACAAAGTCAATGCTCTCTTGCACCTCTCCTTACTTAGTCTATAGCAAAGGGAAACTTGTAAGGAACAAACAGAAAGCATTAAACTTGCTCACATTTCTCTATTCTGTTCACTTTCCAACCAAATCTTATTTAAGTATTTAATTACCAGTTAGGGTTAAATGCTGTGTGAGCACAGGAAGAATGTTAATTTCTTTTCCAGCCATATTCCTTTAGCTTGTTTATGGAATATATCATTTTTTTTCTTTGAACTTTGGGGAGGGAAAACAACAAAAAACAGCAGTGTTCTCTCCTTTAGGAAGCCTCAGAACTCCTAGCGCTCCAGTCTACCTAAAAAGTGTTCCAGTGAAGATGTGCGCACTTCCCAAGGGAAGCAATTTATCCTTCTGTCAACAGCAAGGAGTGAGATCCGGCATTCTCCCTGAACCTGCACACTCATCTCGTCATACAATCATAGTAAGAATACAAAATGACAAGCTTTTTGAACAGCTCTTTATATTGCCCCACTGTAGCCTGATGTCTAAAGCTCGTACTCATGAAAAGGATAGCTTTAAAGAAGCAGTAAATAAAAGATTGATGAAGATTTAGGATTGTTCTTTCCTCTACAAGAGAACAAAAATCCCAGTAGAATACAATTCCACTCTGTATATAGAGCCAGTGTCTTTGTAGAAGTAAAAACTAAAGGAAATAATCACTACCAATATACAAACAGCATATGTACAATAAAACTTCAAATAATTTACCTATTGCTTCATCATAGCAAAAATCTCCATTTGTACTTCTGATTCAACAAATTGATCCTTATCATTTGGTTTTATTTTTGGTTCAAAAGTAATAGGTGAGCTATGTATGTGAGTAAATATATTCAATAAAGTGCAGCAGAAAATATTTGCTGATGAAAGAAAGAGTAATTTCAAGGAAAGATTTGGAGAGAGAACTCTTTCCACCTCCCTAAATTATCACCCAAGCCTTTGCCTTCATCATCTTTTGTGTGTTATGAGTGTGATGCTTGGTGAATGCACACTTGAACCAATATATCACAAACAGTGATATATTTGGTGGATAGGATATGGACTCAGGGAAGTTCTTTTTCTGTATGAATTGAAAACTATTTTACAAGAATATTATGAACAATCTTAACATGATGAAAAATTAGAAGATGCAAGTGAGATGAATAGTCTTTCCTCTAGCCACTCATTTGCTAATCCATGGGACCTAGTTAGTTAAACTCTGTCATTGCCAGTAAATAATAAATATTCTTATGTGACTCTGAGAAATTTTAGAGTTGTAACCATCATATGAAATATGCTGTATTAACATCAGGAAAGATGCACAATTTTATGCGTGTGATTACCAGGACTAGAACTCATAGCCTTGAATTTTGGTTCAAAAATTTTCACTCATGGCTGAGACTTTACAACTTGAGCCATGTTTCCTGGGTATCTTCTTGGCTGGTTATCTGAGTTTTTTGGACTACTCTTCGGTTGAATTTTGACTACAATCTTCAGATGTGAACCTCCCTAATATCTAGAATTATAGGCTTGAATCCCCGCTGCCCATCTCATTTCATCTTTCTATTTTGAAGGTATCTAACTGCTCTGATTTTTACCACAAAAAAGAGGTTATGATCAAAAATCACTTATACTGTTCAGGGCGGAAAGAGATAGATGAGATAGTTATGATCCAGAAATCAAGAATCAAGCTTCAGATGGGTAAAAATAATAATTTGAGTTATTTTTATTAGTATTCATCTGCTGCTATTGCTATCATTACTCAGAATAAATCTGTTTTTATAAAACTTACTATTTCATGCATCCACACAAAACCATGTGCTACTACTCACTGTATTTCTAAACCCAAATATACAAACTATTTTTTTTTACTACTCTTGAAAACAAATCTCCATTCCCTAATAAAACCCATAGTAACTTAGAAATTTGTGATAATTTCTTTTGACCAATTTAAGTAAAAAACTTTTTAAATTTAGTTTTTAGGTTTTTATACATTCTAATTTGATATTTTATCACTCGTTTGGTTTGCTGTGCTTAGTAGATTAGCCTGTCCTGCTTGAAAATATCTGATAGAAAATTCTGCCTCTATATTGTTCTGCTGTTTTCCTTTCCTTCTTTATTTTCCCCAAATGTTTATTCAATTCTTTCCAGTGCTGTGGCTCAAGTGGTACAGCAGTAGCCTTGAGCTGAAGAGCTGAGGGACACACCCAGGCCCAGAGTTCAAGCCCCATGACTGACAAAAAAAAGTTTTTCTTATTTGTAGGGTTTAGATTTTGAAGTTCTGAATGGTCAGAAAAAAAATCTTTGTCACAGTTCTGCTGCTTTTGGCCATTCCATTGATCATCAATGTTTTCACAAAAAAGCCAAAGTTAGGTAGCATTTGCTGTATGCCAAGTACTATTCTGAATATCAATTAGTATTTAAGTTTATATTAGTATTATTGCTTATTTGTATTTTCTACTTGAAAGTTTGAAAATTGAGGCACACATTGGTTAATTTTGTTACACAAACATAGGGAATAATGGTTGAGGCAGAATTTTAGTCAAATAATCTTCCATAATAGTCACTATGGAAAATGGCCAAATAGTATCATCATGATTATCAGTAAAATCAACTAGAAAATTGGTATGGAGTGCAGTTAAAGCCTTAATATACCCAACCTCAGAGTAGATAGATTAGAAGATATATAAAAACAATTCAAAACTTGCTAGTGATTAGATATGAAAGTAATGAAAAATTCAACAAGGAGGTATAAGGTTTTCTGTCTAGTTAAGAAATGAGATTAAGGGTAAACAGACAAATCAGGAATGAATGGGAACTTTTAATCATAAATCAGAATTACATATTTTTACAAAAAAATCCCAAGCCAAATAGGTAAAACTGGAGTGATGAGAAATAATTTTAAATTAGATTTATTCTTAACTGATTTATAAAAATAATACAAATTAATGTGTTATCATGTGATGTTTCAAGACATACACACATCATGTAATGTTTAAATCAAGTGAAACACATCTGACTCCTCCAAATTTCATCACTCTCCCATGGTTTAAAGGCTTAAATTTTCAAAGTCCTTTCTCTAGCTTTTCAAAATATGAATTACATAAATATTATTAGCTATATTCACCATAATAAACTATAGCACATCAGAACTTCGAAATCTGATGTAACTACATTAGAAACTGGTTGATCAACTTGGTCCTTCACTAAGGTTTGTCTACCCAGACTATGGTTACTGCCAGTCTACTGTTAAAATTAGGGCCAGAGTATTAGATTCCACTGATTGAGATCATGTACTATTTAACATCTCTGTGCCTAGGCCATTCTCCTTGGATAGCGATCTCCAGTTCTATTTCAAAAAGCATTTGTGTAGGTATGCTCTATAGATGTTATTAGGTACATTGCAACAGAATGGTCTCCAGAAAGGTTAAAAAAGCACTATAATGGTATTTTTGCCCTCGGACAAAGAATAAAGTACCTTTACAATCCACTTCATCAGAGTTATCTCCACAGTCATTTTCACCATCGCATATCTTGCCATGAGGAATGCAACGACGGTTGTTGCAGGGTTTAAAGCCTCTTCGACAGCTTCTGTTTTCTTATAAACAAATGTAGAAACTTATAATTAGTAGTTATATGGAAATATTGTATAAAATGAAAACCCTAATGATCATAATGACTGGGTTGAGATTCTTCAAAATAGAATTATACAATAATGAAGCTCTAAATTATATAATTATCAGATAACATAAAGCAGCTCATTGAGGAAAGTCTTTTTTTTATCTAGTGTTTCATACCGGATTGTTTCTTTAAATTGTTTTCACATTATTGTTTCTCACACTCTGTCAAATGTGAGTAATAAACATACAAGGGATGTCCAATTCAGAAGAAATAAGAAATTAAGTTTTACATAAAAGGTTACAGAAACTCTCCAAAAATGCATCACCTAACTTCATTACATCTACAAAGGTCTTATAACAAGTAATAATGAAATCAACAAAACATGTATTCTTGAATTATTCTTACAAAGACTCAACAAAATATCAATGAACTTCTCTTTAAAGTATCTTTCAAATGTCTACTAAATTAAATAAGAAACTTCAATTTGAATGTCCAGTGAGACAATTAAGAAATCAAATAGGAAAGATATATATTTATCAAAACAGACGGAAATACAAATAAAATATGTTCATCCTAGAGGACACAGGAAGAGCAGTACAAACAGGGAAACTTATATCATTAATGTCTACAGGCAAAGATTTAGAAAAATTTATACCAAAATGTCTAACAATGTAACTCAAGGTATGAGAAAAGTAAGAAAGCAAGCTCAAATGAATATAAGGAAAAGATAACAAAGATCAGTTTATAATTAAAGAAAACTTAGACTAGTTCTTGTGATAATTAAGAATTAAGAGGGCTGGGAAGGTGGCTCAATGCATGCATGAGGCCCCAGGTTCAATTCGTGAGCACCACATACGCAGAAAATGCCAGAAGTGGTGCTGTAGCTCACGTGGTAGAGTGCTAGCTTTGTGCTAAAGAGCTGAGGGACTGCACTCAGTCTCAGAGTTCAGGCCCCACAATCAACGAAAAAAGAAAGAAAAAAGAAAAAAAAAGAATTAAGATCAAAGTTATTGATTATGATGTAACAGGCATGATGTTTTTATTCTTATTACGATGAAGGTCATTATTTATTATAACTTAATAAATTTAAGTTGAAGTTTTGGAAAAAAAGAATTAAGATCTAAAATATATAATAATAATAGCATATTAATACTAGCAATATCAGTAATGGTAGTAGTATTAGTAACTATACAATAATGAAGAAATTTAAAGCAATCAATAATAGGCTGATGTGGTATTTTTTAAATGAAGACCCAAATGAGCCGCATATATAAGAAAAAAAAACAATGTCATAACCACCAGCAAAATGTAAATCAAAACCATAATGAGATATCATTTCATGACTGTTTTAGTGGTGGAATGCCCAATTAGCAAGCATGAGGCCCTGAGTTCAACCAACAGTACTGAAAATTAAAAAAAGAGTTTTCACTGTATTTGATATTGGTATAAGTTGGGGAGGGGAAGGGAAAATACAGATTGTTTAGGGATACAGATTGACCCATTGCAACAATGAGATGTACAAGACGCTATGTTGAAAAACAAACTTTGCAATTTAGACGGGGGGCAGGGAGCTGAGGTGGTGGGAGAAAAGAGATGGGAGGGGAAAAACAAAGGAGGAGGCAACAATGCTGGATAAGAAATGTATTCATTAACTTTGCTCATGTAACTGTAAACTCTTTGTACAGTATTTTCACAATAAAAAAACTTAATTACAAAAATAAATAAAAAAGAAAGATAAAAAAGAACTTAAACAAAAATGACAGAAAATAACAAGAGCTGGCTAGAATGTGAAGAAAAATGAAACTCTTGCACAATTTTGACCAAAATGTGAATTAGTACAGTCAAGATGGAAAAGATTGTTAAGATTCCTCAAAACTCAAAATGGATTCCTCATATGATCTACAAATCTTCCTTCTAGTACATATTCTAGGAAATTAAAAACAACACACAGGACATCTGCACTGAGTATTTATTGAAGCATTACTTCAAAATTGCCAAAAATATGGAATCGATAAGAGATGTAGCTTGAATCTGAATAAATGAATATAATCTTATAAAGCTTTGAAAGAATGAATAAAATCCTGTTATTAAGATAAGACTATTGAACTTTACAACTTCAGGAAGGGTGGGGAGTTTGGGGAGGTGGGGAAGGGAAGAGATATTAGGAGAAAAACAAAGGAGGGGTAACAGTGCTCAATAGGATATGTACTCATTACCCTGCTCATATAACTCTACGTCTTCTGTACAGCATCTTTACAATAAAATAAATGTTTAAAAGACAAAAAAGACAGGACTATTGATATACACAAGATGGATATAATTGGAAGACATTCTGTTAATCAGAAAAAAAGTCAGGCACAGAAACATATATTGCATGTTCTCAATTATATATGGGAGCTAAAAATTTTCTCAAAGAAGTAGAAAATTCAATAATCTTCTCCAAAACAGGGGAAATAAGTATAGGGAGAAGGATGGAAAAAATGGTTAATGATTACAAGGAAATAGTACATTAGAGAAATAATGTTCTATTGAAGAACAAGATAATTATATTCAACAACAATTAAAAATTTCAAAATAACAGATAAATTTGAATATTCATGACAGAAATAAATTATATATTCCTGAGCGATAGATATGCCAGTTATTCTGCTCTGATATCAATCTGCTCATATATTACTGATATGCCTGGATATCAGATGTAGAACTATATATCAATTATAACTTAAAAACAGTCTAAATAAATAAAGGCTATGTGACGGTAAATACATGGCTCACAAAACCTAACATATTTACTAGCTGAAGCTTTATACAAACTGTTCAGCATTGCCTGCTTTTCAGGAATATTATCTTGCTTCAATTAAGATTAAAAACTGATGTAAAATACACCTCAAGCCCTTCAGAGTAAATGAAAATTTTTACATCAATTATTATAATTTTATGATAATGTTTCTTATTTTACAAGATACAGCTATTCTATGAAACATACCATATTTGTAGCAAATTCTCTTCAGAATTTGGTTGCACATCAGACATTGCAAATCATATGCAACTATCACTTTAAATAACTGTGTCTTTACTCTGTAGTATAGAGGAATGTATTTAGATTGCTTAAACTCCATCTTCTTATTTCATCATTTTTTGATTACTGAGGTTTAATTATTACTTAGATGCTACCAGATATAGAAATGAAATGTAGCAATTCTAGCCATTAATTCTCAATATTAGCATAGCATGTAAATTCAGTGCTACTGGATTGATAGGATAAATATAAATCAGTATCAATTAAAGAAAATCTGGATCAATTTTACAGTAAGTAGGAATGCTTATACAAAGACAATGTCCAGGATGTTTGTAATAAAGGAAATTTTTCAGCTGCTTACTAGATAGAAAAGCTCAATTCTATTTCAGAAGAAGAGAGGTTGACTGTCAGGAGGTATTGCCAACAGAAGCACAGATGGGGAAAGCATCACAAAGCTAGTAAATGAGGCCTGCCTTTGCACATTGTCCCTATGCTATTCTGGAGACAAAAGTGCAACAAATCACACATTGATTTTTATCAGCCCAACAAGGTTCTAAGTGGTTGTGGTCTTTTCCTGGAGAGTAAACCTACAACATATTAAAAACACTGGATTACATTCTAAGATACCCAAAAACTAGCCCTACAGATCAATTGCAGAGACATGCTTCTTTACCTGCATTTCATGGATAGGAAAGGCATAAGAGAATCTTCCAACTACCATAACTATCATTGGAAATAAGGGTCTCATTTTAGGCATTAACAGAGCCAAGTCTATTGGCTTAGATCTACCTGTTAATCAGAGACACCAAAGAAGTCTACACAAAAAATGAAAGGAGAGAAACAAACCAAGATTTCAGAAACTTTTCTTTGAAATGAGCAAACCCTATGTTGGATGCTTACCACAGTAGAGCAGCTTCTCATCTGATTTATCCTTACAGTGAGGAGTACCATCACAGGTGAGCTGGTAGTCAATGCACTCACCATTTCCACACTCAAACTCTGAATAAATGTTGCAAGAGGAATTTTTAGCTGGAAGAATGAAAGGCCAACATTTTGGTGAACTCACAATAATTCTAAATATCTTTCCATATTATGATCATTATATTCTTTAGTCTCAATTATGAAATAAATTATAACATATAAATGAAAAACCAAATAAAGGTCAATGAGTTGGACTTTTCTTTACAGAAAGTTAACAAGGACATTTCCCATATCACTCTTTGTGTTTTGGAAGTTGTTTTTAAGTTTCTTGAGTGTTGCATAACTAATTTTATCTCCTGACTATTTTGTCAATTATGAGATGATTATATGTGTGTAGAAGAAAAAAGTAATTAAAATTTTGATGGCAATCTATCTTAATTTTTTAAAGCAAAAATTTTGCCTCTTAAATGTACTTTGCATATGCTAAGGATATTTTTGTTTTTTTCATATTAAGATCTATTATAAATTCTTCAAAAACATAAAACATCCCAAGTGTCTATTCCCCACTTAAATGTGTCATATAGGATTAATATTTCTGGTGAAAAAGAGTGAGAATCTATAAAATACCTCATGCTTATGTTCTCCAAGACACCATGGTCATGTTGTCCCATTTCTAAATCTCAGGATTTACATAAGAAATTTGTTTATGAAATGTGATCTACTCTAAATTAGAAATCTAGGTTAACAGTGCAAAACATGAAACTCTTATCTATGATGGCTGTTATTTTCCTTACTCAGTTACAATCTAGGACCTACATTTACTTGGATTGTTTGCTAGGCTTGTGCATTGTTTTCTGATGGTTACTTTGGAGATGTAGTCAGTCTAAGCTCACTCTTAATTGCGATCTTTTGAATCTCAGCCCCCTTAATGACTAGAGTTATATGTGTAAGGTATCAGCTTCTGGCTAAACGATCACGTTTTTGTGAATTCTGTTTTTATGAGTTTCCATTAAAGAAAATAAACCTAGTTTTATTCTTATAAGAATTTCAGCCAGGCGCCAGTGGCACATGCCTGTAATCTTAGCTACACAGGAGGCTGAGATCTGAGAATCGCCATACAAAGCCAGCCCTGGAAAGGAGAGTTCGTGAGACTCTTATTTCCAATAAACCACTCAGAAAACCAGAAGTGGCTCTGAGGCTCAGCTCAAGTAGTAGAGCATTAGCGTGGAGCTGAAGAGCTGAGGGAAAGCACCCAGGCCCAGAATTCAAGCCCCAAGATCCACACACACACACACAAAAAAAAGTAAACAAATAAAAATAAAAAAGAATTTCAGCGGGAGGAGTTGGGGAGGCAGGGAGGGAAGAGATGGTAAGGGAAAAACGAAGGAGAGGGTAACAATGCTCGATAGGAAATGAACTTACTGACTTACTCATGGAACTGTAACCCCTCTGTACAGTATCTTTACAACAAAAATATATATTAAAAAAAGAATTGCACTAGCAAATTTTCAGAATCCATTTTTTTGTCTGTTTGCATAGATTTACTCCATTGTTTATTGGATAATTGCTTGTTGCATTTAAATCAATTCACCTATATTGGTGGTATTAGAATTCATTTATCTCTGAAGGAGATATACCTTAATTTTATAATTTATAATTATTTTAGGAGTATTTGATTTAACAGTGATCAATACAATTTGTAGTTCACAGTGTTTTATTTCTGTATTAGTCTTTGAATTTAAAGAATTTTTTTTATAGAATGCTCACTTATCCATATACTTGCATACAAATTCTCATTTAATTAATTTGGTGATTATAACACTTTCTGAAGATATTTTTTTCTGATGTAATATATACATTAGTACAAGCCAATCTCAAGTATCATTCCATTTTAGAAAAAGAGACATAATTTTAAACCTAAAAATAGTATTAAAACATAAATGAAAATGTATAAAGAATACCAAAATAATAGGTATAATCACCCTACATCATGAACTGAGCAAACCTTATATACTTACTGGAATTTTCTTGGTATTCCTAACAAATTTGCCCTATTTTGAACATATCCTATTAAGCTTCTCACATCTAATAGAAAGTGCCATGATGGAAAATACCATAGTATTTGAAAATAATGACTGGAGGGTTATTACATGTATTTATTTATATATTTATATTTTATATTAGTAGAAACATTTGACATGAATATGATATAAATTTGATATACAATCAAATATTATATAAGCACAGGTCTTCTTCAGACAGATTTATTTGATCACATAGAGTGCTGTTTTCTCCTAGCAACAATGTGATTCCTTTGTACTCTAATTTTTTTATATAGCCATTACTTTAGCTAATGACATTTGTAATTCCTGGGCTTATTATGGATGTTGATAAGGTGAGCAATGTTGTACAGAATGGAAGTGCCTCATCATTTTCTCTACAATTATGACAACAAATGGTCTTCCCTTAATTGCCCTTATGTAGGTGTTAGTAAATGGCCTTTTACCTTTTTAATGATACCATTAACATTCACAAATGGCTCAGGGTGAACTCTTTCAAGTGTGGTCAAGGCCAGATACGTTCTCATTTCTCACAGATTAATTTGGCAGAATAAAGCCAAGAGTTAATTTCTAATATCTGCTGTATCCTAGACTTCAAAACAAATGTACAGTAGATATGTTCAATCTCTACAAAGATTTGTCACTTTTTAGGAGTCTAGTGTCACTCCATAGTTCCACAGACAAACAACTACTCTTGTTTCAAATGATGTATCATAAGTTTATGTGATCCGTGGAAGGGAAAGGGAATCAATAAAACAGCAGAGCAGAGGATAAACTAATACAACAATGATAGTCACTTGATGACACTATGTTGGAAACAAACTTTACAACTTAAGAGGGAGGGAATGTGGAAAGAAAAGTGGCAGAAAATGAGAGAGGAGATAACAGTGTTTAACTCCATCCGTATAGGACCATATTTTAAAATGCAAAATAATGTAAAATATCATGTAAAATCATAAACATAACTGAGGATATATTAAGGTTGATATATCTCCACATAAAAAAATAATTGTACTCATTATTTTACTTATGTAACTGTAACCTTGAATTCATTGCCTTTATCATAAACAATAAAAAATAAATAAAATGCTGCATTTCTTTAGAATTCATTACTTCTCAACAATAGAGAGGCACATATGGCTTAGTAGGGATTTGTATATGTAAACTATTTTTCAGCTATGGGCTTCCACTGTAAGACTTGTTGTGTTAACCAAAAGCAATGCTTTCATGTGGGCCTGTAATGGCCTATGAAAGCACTATTGATGATTATAATGCATAACTAATACTCTAGGCTTAACATATGGAATCAGATCCAAATCAAAATGCCTTGAAGTTACAAAGGACAACTGAAAAAGTTTAAGCAATTGGCTGATAAATTTAGGAAAACATTAAGCAACAAGGAAATATATGGGAAATTGTAGACTAAGGATTACATTTTAATTTTAATTAAATTTCTTTAAATTTAAATTTCACTGGCTAAATACATAATTTTCTCATTTTCCTGGGCAGAGTTATAAATCATGACTTTTAGAACTTTTGCTAAGAGGCATCTGTTGGCATTGTGGTAGACCTTAAAAAGTGAGAAACTATGGAAGAGGTAGAAGAAAGGTCTGTCTGATAAGTTCCAGAAAGAGACTGAAAAATTATTTTTATAATGTAACTATATCTAGCTCTTAGATAAAAAGATAAGGGTTGAGAATATGAATGAGAAAAAAGGTGCCAAACTTGACAAAGTATGAGAGTGAGTTCACTAATTTCCAACAAGGTATTTCTCTTCTACCTTCCCCACATACAAATAGCCTTAAATGTTAATGGCGATATTGGAACACATTAACAATTATTTATTTTGGAAACAGTTTGGTAAACTTAACTATTAATAAATGTATATTGTAACAGTATTAATTAAGCATTGTAATGCCTTTGGGAAGTATAAACAAGCAAGGCTGGAATGTTGCTTTCTTTAATTAACAGTTTTGAAATGATTACAAATAACCTGCATGAGCCATTCTCTTTCATTTTCACACTGTGACTGACTGTGAGTGGTTTCACTGTAAGTAATTGATCTACTGACTATATTCTTGTTTATCTTTGCTTTAATCAATTTTATTATTCAATGATTGTTAAAGTCATAGCTGGTGATTATTATGCACAAGTACTTAAGTACTTAGCCCTAACACCTTCCAGTCCACAATCACAAAGATAAAACATCTTGTCACTCTCTAATTTATTACTACCTGTCATATGGTGCTGTAACTAAACATAGTGGTGAAGTAAGTACTCTCATGGACAGAGATAGGAAACTATTGAATTTCTACTAAAATACAACTTCAAGAATACTCTAAAATAATTTTAATATATATAAGCTATTTTAAATTGATGTGAAATTACATTTTGGTTTTCTTTACTTACTCACACATCTGTTGTCAGCTATCAAGACTCGGTCCCCTCTGCAAGAACAATTTACTTTACCATCAGGAGTCAGAAGGCAGAGGTCATGGCAGCCTCCATTCAAGAACACACATGGAGAAAGTTCACCTGCAATAATGAGGCTTTATCGGTCATATTTTCCTACTGAATATACACTTTATCTTAATTACAGATACATGTTAAACTGCTGTACTGCCTCAACCTTTCAATGATACCTCATGGGAAATAAATACAAGACTTTGAAAATCCAAACCTTACAGACAATAAGTTTATTAGAAAAAAAATGTAACTGAGATGGTTATACCTTACTGATATATTTGTCCAGGATGTTAAAGAAGCCAGTGAACTAGTCTCACTAGAAAAAATAATGATACTAGGACTCCAATGTAGTAAGCACTTCAAAGAATGGAGACTTTCCAGCTTAGCGGCAGTACATTATCATACAGTTTGATTATCCTGCAAACAACTCAAAGTGAATTTTAAAAATTAAGAGGAATTAGAGAGATTGAAGCTGAATTTAAAAACAAATAAATTGAATGGTTTGTTCTTCTGGTGATAAAGCACTACAAAACTTAAACTTTACAAGAACTTTGGTGTATTCTGTAATGAGACGCTGAGTGCCATCCCCCCAAACAATAAAGAAACAAATCTTTTATTATTAGGCAATAATTTTTGTCCATTGTAACTTACAGCTATTAGTGTCATTGGCAACAGCGATGATTCCCATTGGCTGGTGTGGAATGTCAGAACGAAGAATTTTGGTGTCTCCTCCCGTGTACTTGTTGGACCGTAGAATGGCTCTTCTGCCCCAGTCTGACCAGAATATGTAATTGTCATAAACGGCCAAACTAAGAAAAGTCCCTGGCCCAGATTTGACAATCACCTGGAATGAATTAAAATATACTTTTACAACAAAGATGTTAGTATCTCTACACATCCCCCACAACTATAAAATGAAGATTAATTGATTGATAAAATGGAATCAGCACATTAAAAAGCATTTTACTTAATGTATCACCATGTTTTAAATCATCATTAGAATTGTCCAAGTATTTTCATAATATTCTGTCTACATGCTGTATTTCAGTTATGTGAAGTGCTTACAATATGAAATGGTTCAGGGCTATTTCTTCATGTTTCGGAATCCTTGCATACAAATAACAAAATATCTTGGGGACAAGACCTAAGTTTAAACTTGAAATCAATTAATATTTCATGTATAGATATAGCCTGAAGGTGATTGCATGAAAAACTTTTAGCTTTCCTGAGTTTTATGTGACTCATCCAGTCATGTAAGATTATGTATGGGATTTTCCACTTGTTATCATCATATCAGTATTTGGAAAATTTGAGATTGAAGGGAATATTACATTTCAGAATTTTGGATAAGGTTACTCAACCTATAATTCTACTAGTCATTCAGTTTGAATATACAACTAGATTTGTTCAGTATCAAAATCTAGAATTTACAAGTCAGAAGAAAAGCTAATACTACCAAAATTATTTTACTTTTATTGCTGGATTATCAGCTATACAGCAGACACTTTCAGAGTTCTTAAATATGTATAGAACTTTCAAAGAACATTAGGGTTCAAGTTGTTCAGAAAACTTTTAACATGAATGGTTAAAGCATTTTGAACATTCTTGCAGGAAATAAAAGAAGATGAAAAATAAGACCAAACTTCTATTTATACCCAGATGGACTAAAAAGGCCTAGATATACTTTTCAAAATAACCAAGAAACTAAGAAAATGCAAGAAGGAGGTCTTCTCCAGACTTTATCCCCAAGTCAGTGAAGAGGTTTAGGAATTACTAAACACAATAACAAAAATTATGTTCCATAGTGGATGCAGTTAGCATGCAGGAGCCAAACAGTGAAAGTTACAGAGGGGATAGTTATGGGAGATCTACATGTCACAAGGCAGAATGTTAGATGCAAGAGTGTTCAGCAGAAAGCTGTGGGTATATATCTGCTTAAAGTCTCCTGACTTATTCAATTATGTGCTGATAACACACATTGCCTGCATGTTAGGTAGCTACTCCATAATGGTGAAGGAAAACATGAAAGGTTTAAACAAGTGCTCTAGGGTTTACACAGGCTCTGGGTCATGCCTGTTAGCAATGTCAGACTCTATAGTGTTCCAATTATTAGCATTCTGATTAGAGTTCTTAGAAGTTTTCTCTCAGTAAGTGGGGACTAATTAACCCTAAACTTGGCTTTATTCCTGCCTACCAAACCTTAAAGTCAAGATCTGAAAGGATCAAACTGTTAACACTGAAAGTATCAAACTGTTATCTCCAAAAATAAGGCTCAGAAAATTGTAAGAAAATATAAAATTGATACCATTGAAATACTCTGTGTAATAAAATGTTGAAAAATGAGAAAAATTCAAGTCAATGTCCTCAGTGATCACCTTAAGAAACTAAATGAGAATAAATTAGAAGACCTAGGGGAGGGGGAGAACTTTAAAGACCCTAAAAGAAATTAAAACCTAGAACACAGAAAAACAATATAGAATATCAAGGAATTTTAAATTTTGGTTGAGTTCAATAAAGGGATAATAAATTATATCAGTATAAATAAAACAGACCTAAAATAAGAAAACACTCAGCTACCTTCACTCCTTATCCTGAAATCTAGGCAGTATAATAAAGCAAGAAAAAGAAGATAAAATGCACCAATACTTGAAGAAGAGAAGTAAAATTACAATAACTTAAACATGACAAAATTCTAAACATAAAAAAACGAAGATTTATCTGGGTGCCAGTGGCTCATGCCTTAATCTTAGGTATTCAAGAAGCTCAGATCTGAGGATCCGTTTGAAGCCAGACACAGCAGAAAGGTCTATGAGAGTCTTATCTCTAATGAAATTTCCAATTAAGCACCATAGAGAGCTTCAAGTGGAGCTGTGGTTTAAGTGGTAGAGCACTAGTTTTGAGCAAAAAAGCTAAAAAACAGCACCCAGGCCCTGAGTTCAAGCCCCAGGACTGTGAGATGCTAGGAAGCATGAATTACAACTGTAACCCCAGCTATTTGGGAGGTACCTTCTGGAAAAATCACAGTTTGTAGCCAGATTATGAAAAGAGATATTGGAAATCCCTCTGAATATAATGATTCAGAGATGGTGGAACATGCTTGCAAGCCTAACAATTAGAGGAATAGGTAGGAAGATTGTATTTCCCAAAAGGCCTATAAATAGTACAACTATATAAAAAATAACTTAAACCTTAAAGGGCTAAAGGCATATCTCAACTAGCAAGGCAAATATATGCAAACATAATGCTCAATTTCTAAATTCCAATACTGTCAAAAGAAAAGTAAAAGAAAAGAAAATCTATACACACACACACACACACACACACACACACAAGATGCTTCAATTAATAGATAAACTTAGTAAGGGTATGAGATGAAAGTTAATTGTATTTCTATATACTAATATTGAAAAATTGAAAATTTAAAAACTGAAGTACTTTTTAATAGTACAAACAAGTATGAATATGGTTAAATATAAAAAATCTTACAAGCTACTAAATTATGAATTTAACAACCCAAAATTAAGTTTTATAAATATATTTTAAATAGCTTATAAGATTACCATTGCTGAAATATAATTTCTGCACAAATTGATGTTTTGTATAAATCCCAATCAAATACCACAGTTTGTAGAAATTGATAAGCTGCTTCCAAAATTCTTTAAAAAGTACCAACAATATAAGATAGTCAAAAAAGCAATGAAGAACTTAGATGACTATTTCAAGCAAGACATTTGTAATAATGACAGATAAATTATTGGTAAATACATTAGAAGAGAAGCTCACAAATACTGACACATATGGATAGGTTACTCATTTTTGACAAAAGGACAAAGACTATATTCAAAACAAAGGGATGGTTATTTTCCAACAAATGGTACTAGATTGTTTAGATGTAAAATCAAAGGAGGGGTAACAATGCTCATTAGAAATGTACTCATTACCTATTCATGTAACCCATTTGTACAGTATTTTACAATAAAAATTTAAAACATATTTATATCCATATCTTATGCCATGTGTAAAACTTAACTAAGAAGATATAAGTTTGACTTAGATTACTGAAAGATTTTTCAGTAAATGTCAAAAAGTAAGAGATCAAGTAACAAGTGTGATAAAGTAAATTTCATTAAAATATACAAAATGCTTTAAATGATACTGGCCAAAGAATGAAAAAGTAAGCCAAAACTTTGAGAAAATATTTCCATAAATACAAAGAAAGATTTACACAGTTCATATGCAAAGAAATCTCCCAAAATAATAATAAAACAAATTAAAAAGAATGAAAATTTAACTTTAGTATTGCCAGTGACTCACTCCTGTAATTTTGACTACTCAGGAGGCTGAGCAGAAGATCAAAGATAGTGTCCAGGCCCTAATTTCAATCTCCAGGACCAGAAAAAGCAAACACACACACACACACACACACACACACACACACACACACACACACAAAACCCACCTATCCATTCATGTCAACTAAACACATAAAAACATGAACAATATCATGCATTATGAATTTTACAAAAACAAAGTTAAAATCCAAAAATTGAGCAAAACAACTTCAACTTACAAAATTTTGACTAAATGTAAAGAGACTGAGCTTACCAAGGACTGTTATGGATCCAGATAAAGATAATACTATAAAGTCCTACAACCAAGTAGGAAAAGAATTACATCCTCCAAAGAAATTAAACATGTATTGAGCATGTGATTATTCTTATGTACTTAAGTGTTTATTTATCTAAGAAAATCAAAACAGGCATCCACAGAAATATTAGGACACAAACCATTTGTACAAATCTATTTGTAGAAGACACCAGTGGAAACCATGGAAATGTCTACATACAAGTGAATACATCAACAAGTTGTATCCATGTGTCAGATTATCACCTTGGAGTTTATTGGTGTAAATCCTTTGAACAATTAACAAATTAACATAATGAATATCAGGAAGTTGAAACGTGTTCGTGATGGAGGCAATAAGTTGGGGAAGTCTAGATGGGTGGAAGGAGAAATGATGAGCAAATACAGTTGTTGTATTCAATGACACTGGAAAAATTGAACTTCATAAATTAGAGAGAGGGAAGGGATGAAAAAGATAAGAGGGAATGATGGAAGAGGTGACACTGATCAAAGTGCATTGTACTCCTAATCTGACTACTGGTATTGGAATCTCTTTATACAACTACTTAATATAAATAAGTGAATATAAAAACAATATCTTCTTGATTTATTCTACCCAGGTTCTACTGAAGTCTTCAAATTGAGCCCTGTTGTTAGGCTTTGTCCTGGGGCATGTCCTCAAGAGTCCATTTTTTAGAAAGATTACTGCTAAGACTGAATCACTGTACATTAATACTATATCACTCTAAATATTTGACCAAGTTTTCTACATTCCACTGTCCTCCAGGTAAAGTCTGAATACTGTGGCCTACTTTCAACAAAAGTCCTAGTAAGTAAATTGGCTTAGGCAATCTCTTATCATCCCTAAATTTTCTTTTATTAACTTTCTATTCTCATTCTGCTTTTATCTATGAGTTCCTTCTTTTACTTTTGTTTGGAATTGAGACCAATATTTCTCTCCTACTATAAAAAAATCTTATCTTGTAGTCTCTATGGCTAACTAAATAATCTTGAGAAATATCTGGCCTGCAATTTACCATGTGCTCATAATGATTCTTCTTTCTTGTTTCATACACTCAATAGGATACACCTAGAAAAAGACAACTGGATGATGTCTTGATGGATATAAGAACATTGACATATTTCAAAATAATTAATGTAGCTGGTGGAAATCACACAAGAAGCACTTCAAAGAAACCACTCATGTCAAACATACAGGCA